AAGTGGTTTGCACTGCCGCCGGCCGGGCTGTGACCAGCACGCCCTGGTCTTGATCCAGCTCATCCTGATCATTTGGCTGCTCCTGAACGCATTCACCATAACCTAAAACGTAGGATGTCAAAGCTGCACATGGTTCCATGCCAGCAGTCGATAGTCAAAGCTTCACATGGTTGCATGCCATTAGTGATCGTCGCTGCAGCACATGGTTGCAGGCAAGCAGCTGAAAGTCAAAGCGGTCACACTTCGATATAAAAGTGATAATGGATATGGTCCCACCTTTTTTAAAGTAATGATGGCCGCGTCAATAACCGTCCCGTTCTCGGCATTCTTCTTGATCAGGCTTTCCCACTGGGCAGTGAGACCTCGCGGCCTCCTCTGCCGTCAGATCACACATCTGAGCCAGCGACATTGCCGAACGCATCCCATTAATGCTGCATTTGCATTTAGGCTGCGATTGCCAGCCGAATTGTGTATGTTCACCGGTTGTTTGCTATTGATAAAGAATGAAAATTCAATGAGAATCAAACTTATTTAAGTAGGTTATCTAACACTTGCCCATTTCTATCCAACTCCTGGGTGGACTGAACATTGCGCAGTTTTCCGGGTCCATAGCAGTGCTCCACCACAGAGTCCTAATCGTCATCGTCGTCCGCATTGGCCTCGTCGTCTGTTCTGAGCTGGCTAAAAACGAAAAAACGCAAAATGACAAGAGGATTCTTGAATGCCTTGACGTGTACTCACAGCTTGTCTAGCGAAGCCTTCAGTATGTTGTTCCTGTTATTCTTGTGCAGGCGCTTCAGCTCCGTCTCGCGCAACTTGAGGTCCTGCAGCTCCTGCTGGATCTTCTGCTCGACGGGCACAGCCTCGACGCAAAGGCCTGCCCTCCGCGTCCCGCTCGATGGCTGCCGGTGATAGGGTGACCGTGGTAATGCCCGTTGGAGATGCCGTGGTAATGCCGTTCTCCAGGAAGGCCAACGTCGTGCGTGTGTTCAGCTTGAGGGTGTTGCTGTTGGTGCTGTTGTTGCAGCTGACTTCCATTCTTATTGCTCCCTGAAGTGCTGATGTCGGCATAAAGCAGTTCCAGTAGTGAACTCTTCAGCCTTTGCTCGTAGTGGGGAATCCTGCCAGGACAAAAGAACAAAAAGTTTAGTGACTGCCATCTCTCCTAGATGCCCTTCAAACCCACTTTGATATTTCGTAAAGGAAGCGATCGGTGCGGGCAAGTGACTCAATATCCTCGCTATGCTCATCCAACAGTCACGCTCCTCCGCCGAGAGCGGGAACTTTAGCAGCTGCTAGACCATGTCGAGTATCAGCTTCTTGTTGCTGTCCATCGGGAGAATGGCCCTAGAAGAGAAGACATTAGTATTTGGAACCAGAAGGTGGCCAAAGCAACTCCTACTTTGATATCTTCATATAGCTCATCTTCAGCTTGCTGAGCAGGATGGTGCAGTTCTGGGCCCGGCGTCCATCGATCTCTGAGAGCACCTTGCTTGCTTGGCTGGCTTGCCGCCAGTTGCTCGCAGATCCTCATAGGAGCCATCAATAGCCTGTGAAAAGAGGGGAGAACATTAAATAAGGGAAGATCTTTCATTGGCATCTTTTCTAGACACTAACCGATACCGCATTCTTTTGTTAAGCCGAAAAGAATTTGTCTATCGACTCCAACTCCATGTTTTACAGCTTGCTTTCGTCAAGCTCGCTTCAGACGGTGCCCTAGATACAAAGGATAGAAATTAATTTATGTGACGTTCCTTAACTTGAATTAACTCTGTACTCACCCATTGCTGGCGTATTGTTGCAAATCCTCCGCCTTCATTTTGGTAGTCTGCACGCGCTGCACCGTCTGCGAATGCTGAGCGGACTCCTCCAAACCCGTTTCAATATCCTCCTTCTGCTGCATGCAGAATCAAGAAGTTCTGAAAATAATATATAATCAAATTATTAAATAAACACCAGCTGTTACCAAAGTTGAAGAATGAACTAAAGCTAACTAAAATTAATGCTTTTTGTTTAGCTGAATTACGAGATTTTTAAACTTTGATTTGCCAACAAATAAAATGCATGTAAAAATATATAGTTCAATAATATTGCAGAGAGTATTATACTTTTAATCAGTGGAGGTACGACCCTATAGAGCCGAAAATGACTCCTTCACTGATTAAAATTATATTTTCCTCTGCAAGAATCTTAAAATTCAAATTTTATTTGATCATTTTTATTCCCTTGCATGGTATTATAATTTTACTCAAAAGTTTGGAACGCAGTAACGCCCCTATTAAGTAAACATATTCTTGATCAGCATCAACAGCTCTCCCTTTCTCCCTCTCTCTTACTCTCTCTGCCTCTTTTTATCCGGTAGGTCCAACTCCCAATGTGCATCTTCAGAGCGAACTCTTTCTCTGTATGTTTCTCCGCCTATCTCTTACTCTCTCACTTTCTCTGTTCTCTTGACTCGGGAACTATAAATAGAGGCACTTCGTTCGCCGCGACCTCAGTCTGTCCTAGGGGTACCTAGTGTTTACATCGATAGTGATAGTGATTAAAGGAATGACGTGGCCAATGGAATACATCTGGATAACCAGGAAGTGATCTTCGATATTATGACTACCCTAATTGAAGTCAACAAGATTCAAAGTCTACACTGGAAGGAAGTAAACTACACTCAGGTAAGTCTTAATCATGACAATTATATTATTATATGGAAGGAAGTAAACAATGACGTGTCCTCCACTGGGGTAAGTCTTAATAATGACAATTATATCATATACATATAACGATGCTATAGGAGGGATCAGGCCTTGGTCTAGATTCAGCTCTGCTAGCTATGCATTTATTTTTCAATTAATTCCCTTATTTCCATGGATCCCATTACTTATTTTTAATTTAAAGTGATTCAGTAATTTGTATTGAGGATATCTACAAACGTATACTCAAAGTTAAAAGCCTAAATTAATTATAAGATCTTACTCTTTCGATAGTTTTATAACTGACCCTGACCCTAGCTAGACCGACTCGGCTGATGATGGTGATCTAGAATATACATATAATATTTATAGGGTCGAAAATGACTCCTTCACAGTATTACAAGCTTTCGACAAAAATTAGAATAGTATAAAAACTCACCTGGCCAAGGATGAGTGCTACTTCTCCTGGGCATCACGAGCTGTATTGGCCTCATCCTCATCGTACCGGTTACAGTTGTACCAGGAGGAGCGTGCGGCTTCCAGAAGCCGAGGCAGACCCAACAGAACTCGTTCTTGCAGTTCTGGTTCTTGCACACCATATGGTTGCAACCGCCGTCTCTCTCAATGGTCACACTGCACTTGTGAAACTCTTTGGTATTGGCCGCGATCCAGTTGGATGTTTCTGAGTCGTCGTCGCTCTTCTCATTCCACTTCTTTAGCCCGCGGCATTTGACCGGATCGGGATCGGATATAAGGTGGCTGATTGGCCGCTGCTCCACCTGCAGCACAACCTGATGGACCACGCAATCGATCACTCGCCCATATCTATCCAACTTCTGGGTGGACTGAACAATGCGCAGTTTTCCGGGTCCATAGCAGTGCTCCACCACAGAGTCCTAATCGTCATCGTCGTCCGCATTGGCCTCGTCGTCTGTGCTGAGCGGGCTTAAAACGAAAAAACGTAAAATGACAAGAGGATTCTTGAATGCCTTGACGTGTACTCACAGCTTGTCCAGCGAAGCCTTCAGTATGTTGTGCCTGTTATTCTTGTGCAGGCGCTTCAGCTCCGTCTCGCGCAACTTGAGGTCCTGCAGCTCCTGCTGGATCTTCTGCTCGACGGGCACAGCCTCGACGCAAAGGCCTGCCCTCCGAGTCCCGCTCGATTACTGTCGGTGATAGGGTGACTGTGGTAATGCCCGTTGGAGATGCCGTGGTAATGCCGTTCTCCAGGAAGGCCAGCACCGTGCGTGTGTTCAGCTTGAGGGTGTTGCTGTTGCTGCTCTGATTTAACATTCCGGAGCTGATGATGTTGATGTTGATGATGTTGCCCAATGGCGAGACGGCGGCAGGGGATTATTGGGTGCCACCAGATTGCCATGGAAGGCAATAAACCGCTCAATTACGCCCTTGGTAGATGCACCACCGAAGGCAAACTGACGCTTCTGGCGCAGGCCGCTTAGCTGAGAAGTAAAAATGGTGTCATATTGAGGCAGTTAGGTCCAATGTAACGCTGCTCCTGGTGGGTGACGACGATCAGCTTGAGCGGCTGCTGCTGCTGCTGGTGCTTGGCCTGGAGGTTGTTGTTGCTCTGCGAGGAGTCCGAGATGCCATAGTCATCCGAATGCTGGCCATCGAGGCTCTCCTCCTTGGCGCTGTTCACGCTAGAGGCCAGCGAGGGTGTGTTGGATGGCTCATCAATGGGCAGCAGGAGCGAAGTGGTTTGCACTGCCGCCGGCCGGGCTGTGACCAGCACGCCCTGGTCTTGATCCAGCTCATCCTGATCATTTGGCTGCTCCTGAACGCATTCACCATAACCTAAAACGTAGGATGTCAAAGCTGCACATGGTTCCATGCCAGCAGTCGATAGTCAAAGCTTCACATGGTTGCATGCCATTAGTGATCGTCGCTGCAGCACATGGTTGCAGGCAAGCAGCTGAAAGTCAAAGCGGTCACACTTCGATATAAAAGTGATAATGGATATGGTCCCACCTTTTTTTAAAGTAATGATGGCCGCGTCAATAACCGTCCCGTTCTCGGCATTCTTCTTGATCAGGCTTTCCCACTGGGCAGTGAGACCTCGCGGCCTCCTCTGCCGTCAGATCACACATCTGAGCCAGCGACATTGCCGAACGCATCCCATTAATGCTGCATTTGCATTTAGGCTGCGATTGCCAGCCGAATTGTGTATGTTCACCGGTTGTTTGCTATTGATAAAGAATGAAAATTCAATGAGAATCAAACTTATTTAAGTAGGTTATCTAACACTTGCCCATTTCTATCCAACTCCTGGGTGGACTGAACATTGCGCAGTTTTCCGGGTCCATAGCAGTGCTCCACCACAGAGTCCTAATCGTCATCGTCGTCCGCATTGGCCTCGTCGTCTGTTCTGAGCTGGCTAAAAACGAAAAAACGCAAAATGACAAGAGGATTCTTGAATGCCTTGACGTGTACTCACAGCTTGTCTAGCGAAGCCTTCAGTATGTTGTTCCTGTTATTCTTGTGCAGGCGCTTCAGCTCCGTCTCGCGCAACTTGAGGTCCTGCAGCTCCTGCTGGATCTTCTGCTCGACGGGCACAGCCTCGACGCAAAGGCCTGCCCTCCGCGTCCCGCTCGATGGCTGCCGGTGATAGGGTGACCGTGGTAATGCCCGTTGGAGATGCCGTGGTAATGCCGTTCTCCAGGAAGGCCAACGTCGTGCGTGTGTTCAGCTTGAGGGTGTTGCTGTTGGTGCTGTTGTTGCAGCTGACTTCCATTCTTATTGCTCCCTGAAGTGCTGATGTCGGCATAAAGCAGTTCCAGTAGTGAACTCTTCAGCCTTTGCTCGTAGTGGGGAATCCTGCCAGGACAAAAGAACAAAAAGTTTAGTGACTGCCATCTCTCCTAGATGCCCTTCAAACCCACTTTGATATTTCGTAAAGGAAGCGATCGGTGCGGGCAAGTGACTCAATATCCTCGCTATGCTCATCCAACAGTCACGCTCCTCCGCCGAGAGCGGGAACTTTAGCAGCTGCTAGACCATGTCGAGTATCAGCTTCTTGTTGCTGTCCATCGGGAGAATGGCCCTAGAAGAGAAGACATTAGTATTTGGAACCAGAAGGTGGCCAAAGCAACTCCTACTTTGATATCTTCATATAGCTCATCTTCAGCTTGCTGAGCAGGATGGTGCAGTTCTGGGCCCGGCGTCCATCGATCTCTGAGAGCACCTTGCTTGCTTGGCTGGCTTGCCGCCAGTTGCTCGCAGATCCTCATAGGAGCCATCAATAGCCTGTGAAAAGAGGGGAGAACATTAAATAAGGGAAGATCTTTCATTGGCATCTTTTCTAGACACTAACCGATACCGCATTCTTTTGTTAAGCCGAAAAGAATTTGTCTATCGACTCCAACTCCATGTTTTACAGCTTGCTTTCGTCAAGCTCGCTTCAGACGGTGCCCTAGATACAAAGGATAGAAATTAATTTATGTGACGTTCCTTAACTTGAATTAACTCTGTACTCACCCATTGCTGGCGTATTGTTGCAAATCCTCCGCCTTCATTTTGGTAGTCTGCACGCGCTGCACCGTCTGCGAATGCTGAGCGGACTCCTCCAAACCCGTTTCAATATCCTCCTTCTGCTGCATGCAGAATCAAGAAGTTCTGAAAATAATATATAATCAAATTATTAAATAAACACCAGCTGTTACCAAAGTTGAAGAATGAACTAAAGCTAACTAAAATTAATGCTTTTTTGTTTAGCTGAATTACGAGATTTTTAAACTTTGATTTGCCAACAAATAAAATGCATGTAAAAATATATAGTTCAATAATATTGCAGAGAGTATTATACTTTTAATCAGTGGAGGTACGACCCTATAGAGCCGAAAATGACTCCTTGTTGTTGTTGTCGGCAAAAACAAGAATTCAATTTGGTCGTTTCCAGTACAAAATTTTAAATTTCTGGGCCTGGAGTACCAGGCGAACAGAAACCGCAGAAAGCAGATTAATTTTAGTGCAAGAGCTGCAAATTAGAGTTGTCACTATAGCTATATTGTAGCAGAGCTTAAAGCTTTAAGCTCAAAGCTTAATCTAGCTATAAAATAGCTAGTTTGCCAACCTTATATTACCGGAACTTTTTTTGCAGTGCGACCAGCTTATTTTTTACTACCTAATACCGAAGTGCGACCGCTTTGACTTTCCGCTCGTAGCCTGCAACTATGTGCTGCGGCGACGATCGGCTGATGACATGCAACCATGTGCCGCTGTTATTAACGGCTGATGACATGCAGCCATAGAAACGAATTATAAATAGAGCCTGCTTAGTCCACTGAGTGGACTCCACTCCTCTTATTGTGCCACCACTGACCCGCATAACGTCATCATTCGTGAATTGTGGGTGGGGAGGGTGCGGGTGGTGCAGCTCCACTGGCGGCAGCGATTTCCATTTATTTTTCATGAATACTTATTGATTTGTCTGGCATGGCATGCTAGCTTGTTGTTTAATTATCCACTATCCATTTGCTCACTTCATAAACACAGCCAAGCAGGATAATATATGGTGGCTCCAAGATTCTAATGACATGTAGACTTGTGCCGCAATCGAAATACAACTAATTGTAGTGTGACCAACTCATTTTTCTTTACTTACGAATCGAAGTGTGCCCGCTTTGACTTTCCGCTCGTTGCCTGCAACCATGTCCTGCGGCGACGATCGGCTGATGACATGCAGCCTTGTGCTGCATGGCTCGATTTGTCTGGAATTGCGTGCTGGCTTGTCGTTTAATTGCTCGAGCCGCGCTCTGTTTGGAGATTATTCGTTTGCTCACTTTGAAACACAGCCAGCTAGGCAGGATAATATAAGGTGTGCCGCGACCGAAATATCGCCACAGAAATACAACTTATTGTAGTGTGACCAATTTATTTTTTACTACTTTTTATTGAAGTGTGACCAGCTTGACTTTCAGCTGGTTGCCATGAACTATGTGCAGCTTTGACTATCGACTGCTGGCATGCATTTAAATTTATCGATCGACTATATATTGATCGACTATTTAAATTTAAATTCAAATTTGTCGGTTAACTGATATGGCGGGTACTGATATGTCTATTTAAATTCAAATTCAAATTCAAATGGACTATAAAGATGTTGCATGGGGGATTTTCGACTTCCTGGAGAAACGAATCGAGTACACAAGTGGGTGGGCATGCGACCTTATGGTCTGGATCCCTGGGCAAGCACTAATCTCATGCCTGCGCAGGATGTATTCGGCAACGAAGTCTTTGATTTTTATATTTGCTAATTATTATGCTCTTCGGAGATATGTAAGGCGATCGAGCAACCGATGAATTTGTATTCGAAATGTCATAATTTTTGCGTACACAACATTTACATGAAGTTACAAATATTTTTACATTTTAAAACTAACATAAATATATCCGTTTAACAAAGTCCAAACCTAAAAGCTGAAATTTGAACTTCTGAGTTTTGCTTATGTAGACGGCGGGGTTCCAATAACCAGTTTTAAACAATTTTATGTGAGTTTTAGGTAGAGATACTTGAAAAACTCAGCTCAAAAGTGATTAAAGCAGTAAACATTCCTTTGTTTCGCTTATTCAACTGAATGATTTTCATACAATACGGTGAAGAATATCCAAAATCAGACTAATTTATTGGCCTAAAAGTGATACAGTACATAATGGTATATTTTTTAAATATATTAATAACTATTGTGTTTTTTTTACTTTTTTCCTATCAACTTGCGATAGGAGTTTCCTTGAGAATTGTTGTTATTTGTGTTTAAAACATAATATGTAATCGGTCAGACGGCCATTTCCCGCCTACGTAGCGCCATTATCCGATCAAAGACATCGATTTGGTGGCCCAAAAGCCTCTTATCTGGCATACAGGTGGCGTCAACATAATAGCAATGAAAAATAACAATAAATAGTATAATATAATCCTTAAAGACATTCAATGAGCTTCTTTTTGTATCTATCAGATCATCAAAGAAATATCCTAGATACTCATATATGCTCTCTAAAATACACCAAATATAATACACGCAATATAACTCACCAAATATAACTAACTATCATTTAAGAAGAAAAGTATTCCAATTAAACAAAATTAAATCTGCTATTCTCTTGCCCTCAGGTGCACCCGTGAGTATTCCTTTTGCAAAACCTGTTTTTTAGGCAGACAATCTCACGTTTTCGCTGTTAACTGTTTTATCAGGTGTCTGGCACTACTCAAGAGAATGTGTACAACATTTTTTTTATTGAACTTAAAATATTCTTTCATTTTTGTATTATTTATTACCATTTGGAGTCTTGCTCAGAGATCCCCTCGAATAATTGATTTAAATGTGGCCGCTTATAGTGCAACTTTGATTGTGGTGATTGATTGGTTTTGACGAGAACCAGGCACTTGTTTGGGGAAAGGCCCGACTAGAGAAAGGGTCATATAATTATCGGCCAGGGAATGACGTGAGTTGCCAACCAGAAATTGCCTGAGGCTGCGATAAATCAGTCGAAATGTGAAACCAAAAATCAAATTTTCATTTGGCCCTTGTCGCTGGTCGTTGGCCATAAATTACTTATCGTCTCGCTCGGCTTAAATTTCACAGAGACCCTAGCCTCTTTTTTATAATTAATGCACTGGAAGAAAAGTTTATTAGATTTTTTATTATTAACTATAGAAACATACGTGCCTAACGACAGAAAATTTGTGTTTTAATGGGCATTTAAACTGTATTATTTATTGTTATTACTTTTTATTTACAAAAACTAAACAAACAAGTGGTGCTCGATTGGTTTTGGTTTATTATTTTCTATTTATTGGCTTAGTTTTAATCGATTATCCATTCGCTCCCTAGATCCTGTGGCAGACTGCAAGATTTATTCTGTTTATACTCTTGCAGAGGATATTATTATTTTAGTTAGTGAAGCAGACATTTCCGACCCTATAAACCATATATATTCTTGATCAGCATCAACAGGAGAATCTTTCTAGCTATCTCCGGAAGAAAACAATTTTTTTTAATTTTTTCAAAAAGAAAAGGGGTTGCTTCGTTAAAATTTTCGAAAATCGTCAAAAAAATTATTATTTTTAAATTTCATGCAGATTTAATAAGATCGCAAAAACTAGTAAAACCTCGTTTTCCGAATTGAAATTACTGCATTTTTGCCTTAGATATGACATTTTTAAACCTTAAGTTCTTTAAAAATATGTCAAAAATATCGATCTGAAAAATTGAACATTTCGGGTCTTCTTGAGGGCAGAAATTGTAAAAAAAAACAGTGATTGCTAAGAGGCATAAACATTTCGATTCGCCATTAAAATCCTAACTAATTTATTATAAAATATTAAGAAATTAATGCTTTTTGGCTTAGTTATGAATAATTTCAATTTCGACTCTAGATTAAATTGCAAACTCAAAGGGTAAAGCTAGCTTTCTCTTTTTGTTTTCAAATAATTTTTTACAAATAATTTTAATAATATAACTTTTTTTCTCTTGATACATTCATATTCACAAAATTAATAGCTAAGCTTTTTCAGTCATTTTTTATTTGTTATTAATGATAATCCAATTTGCCTTTGTTTTTTCGCTGTCTGCTTTTTTGTGACTTTTTTTACTGTCTGAAACCCAGGGCCTTTGTTTAAATGGGTTGATTTGTTTAAATATTAAGCCATAAATATTTGAACCTGTCAAATTGTCCAAATTGGCACAATCATAATTTAAATATTTGGCGTTAGACAAAGTTCTGCGCCCTGAACTTGTGATTACAATAGATTGTATGTACGAACCTGTGGTTTTCCCCCGGGGTACCACAATTTGTGGCTCGGATTTCGTTAATTAAAGTGGCACGATTAAAATGCGATCCATGTGGTATTATTTACTCCGGACCCGATATGGCCGCGTGGCAGGGGCGTGCATCGTTCCGATAAGCCGATAAGCCCGGGGGTCCAAAAACCGTCTAGAGCTGTCCAACTGTCCAAAACGGAGCGCCGGCATTAGAATTAACACATTCCGGTCGATATCGCGCATAATTTATGCACCTCTTCCGCAGTATCAAAAAAGTGCCAACAAAAAATAAGACAGGTGGCCAGAAGAGAGACAGAGAGAGGAGAGCCTGATAAGCCAAGTATTTTGACCGCTCTTTATTTGGCTTTTGGCTTTTGGCCAACTGCAGCCGCGAGCAACACTCGTCCCCATTGTGATCGGCTAAAACGTAAACATAACAGAATTTTCATTAACGAAACATTTTTGTTTACTCTAAAGACATACCCTTAATTCAAACGGAAAGTCCCCATGATTTCTCATGTGTTTTCTAAAATTATATAAACATGTGGACTTTATAGATTTTATTTTAATAATACTCACTAATTTTTTGGGACCTGTAATTATTTTAAGGAATCTCTTCTTATACGTCCTACTAGATGTCCTGAATTACTAATATACTAATGTATATATCATTAATAAATATGGCATAATTTTATATATTAGTATATTCTATGTTTTAACTAAAAGTCAAGTTAAATATATATATATTGATATAGATATATATATTATTCTTTTATTTATATTCTGTCTGAGTTCTCCCATCTCCTTTAAAGCTCGAGCAATGATAACAATATGGCTCAATCAGAAAATGATATCGTAAATCCCCAATGCGTACGCATAAAACGTGAGTGGCAATTATCAGCAGATTAGTGGAGTCATAAATAAAAGAGAAACAAATTAAATTGTTTACGCCAAACGTTCATTGTATTAATTTTATGAATAGAGAGATTTCAGAGTTAGTTGGAGGGTATACGAGTAGCTACCGATGACAAAAGCCCCCCGTTCTTTACACCTGACCCCGCGGCCAATGTCAAGTTCGTTGCCAATGTCGTTCGATTGAGAGCAAACGAGAGAAAGAGAGGCAAAGACACAGAGAGAGAGAGAGGGAGATTTGCGAGGGAATGCCGGGAGAAATAAGAGATAGTGGGGTACGAGGGTGAGCGGGGGTCAGCGACAAGTGTTAGTGGATCGATTAGATGGCTAATTGCGTTTAAACGCCACTCGCAGCACGCTAGCTACACATAGTGCTAACGGTGGCGTATACGTAATCACCGAAATCGAAATCGCGCATACGCCCCGTATACGCGTCGCATTAAATGCAAACAATAATTTATTAATTTGCAAATTATGGTGGCTGCTGCTCAGTTTCGGTTTCTGTTTCTGTTTCAGTTTCGGTCACCATTACAGTTTCAGAACTGAGAAACTCAATTCAGTTGCCTGCGAAACGCTGAACCCAACGGACGGGGTGCCTCGTGGCTGTTGTGTTTTAGCAAAAATCCCACCGAACCCCAAAAGACTATGCATTTGTTTTGTTGCTCTCAGAACAGAGAAGAAGAACTAACAGACAGACAGAGGCAGCTGCTCTCTCTCGACGGCTCTGGAAGCACTGATAAGTCATTGGTAACTTGTGAAATTGATACTGGAGCGCGAGCCCTTGATTGAAATGCGCGGAAGTTTCCACTTGTCGAGCCACAGCTATCAGAGCCGCAGGCAAACCCGGTATACGGAGTCAACGACGTTGCCACTATAGCTAATTGTGGGCCATTAATTGATTGGCGGCCACCAGCTCCAGACACGCCCCCTTCAGCGGGACACCGATACAAATAATTTAATAAGGAAAGAGGAGCCAAAAGGAGGCAGCAGGAGGCAGCAGGAAAGCAGCACGCAGCACACAGTACTTAGTACCTCAGGAATACCCAGTAATCAGTAACCAAGCACTTAGCCATGAAGGGGCAGCAGGAGGCACAGGAGGAGCACTTGGTGCCGCCATACAAGCCAACAGTCATCAGCAAGGATGTGGCAAAGGCCGAGGATCCGCTGGCCAAGGACAAGCCTCTGGGCGAAAGCAAACTAGCCGTGCTGCGGCAGGAGCTAATGGTCTTCCTAGGCAACAGTGGTGTCCTTGGCTCCGGCATGGTGGTCAGCATGCCGGCCGTCACTCTCAACCAGCTGCACGATGAGACACAGCCCTTTTGGCTCAACAAGGATGAGTCCAGTTGGTTTGGTGAGTCATTGAAATATTAATAAAATAGGACTTCACCTTATTAGTTATGGTTTCATCTCCCTTCCTTCACAGCTTCCATCCAGAACATGGCCTGTCCTTTGGGTGGACTCCTGGTAAGCTACTTCCTGGATCGCATTGGACGCAAATACACCATCCTGCTTACGAATTTAATTGGCCTCATTGGCTGGATCCTGCTGGTCACCAGCTTCATGCATGAGGATCGAGATATGATCTACTACCAGATGCTATTGGGACGTGCTTTCGGTGGAATCATGATTGGAATGTTTGTGTCACCGGTGGGTGTGTATTCGGCGGAAATCAGCTTGCCACGGATCAGGGGACGCCTCATCCTGGGCACCTCACTGGGCCTGGCCAGTGGCATCCTGCTGATGTACTGCCTTGGCTACTTCATACGCCACAACATCGTCTTGATCTTTGGCATTAGCTGTGGCTATCAACTGATGGCCACCCTGCTCGTCTTCCCCATGCCGGAGTCACCCAGCTGGCTGCTGACCAAGGGACGAGAGGAGAGGGCCAGGACATCGCTCAGATACTTCCGCGGACTGCCCAAGAAGGGTGAGTGCTTCCATTTTAATTCATTTGCATTTAGATTGGAAAAATAGGAGGAAAAGTAAAAATAATGCATGGCAATCAAGGGATGATGCATTTTTAAAAATAATCTAAAAATCTCTCTCTCTCTCTTGGTGTGTTTAACAATTTGTGGCCATTAAATGGGAACTTATTAAATTCTTGCACTCGAGCCAAATCATTTTAAAGAGAGCCTAATTAAGTACTATAATATTTTTACCCGTAAGGTGCACCAACTTAGGTAGTTAATTGGGCTTTCAGTTGGAAATTAAAGTGATTTTAATGAGCCATTAAAGTTTATCGAACAAAATGAAATATTTGCCATTTAAACCAAGTGCCTATACAAATGTCAATGATTAATTCATTTGGCAATTTTAATTCCTTTTAATGGCAGCACCTGTTAATATATTTATGGGGATGATGGAGCAATATGAATGGTTCTTACTTTGGTACGAACTTATTAATTTATTTGATATATATTTGTGTAGGATTAATATCTTAGACAGAAATTTTCATTTTATATCAGTTTTAAAGACACCTAAGTATGTTATCTTTTTATATAAATTTGTTCTAGGATATATAAAGTCATAAAAGGTTATTAACCGCTCATCATATCCTCTTCATTATAGTTCCTTTTTCTCCTTTATCCAAAAAGTAATCCTTACTTTATCCCATATCCTAATCTTCCAGAGGTTGACTACGTACCCGAATTCGAGGCGGAACTGTCGCACATGAAGGAGGTGGCGGATGCCAGCATGAGCACCGCAGCCAGCGAATCCCTCAGCCAGATGATCCATCGTCCGGAGGTCTACAAGCCTGTGCTCATGATGACCACCTTCTTTGGCTTCCAGCAGGCCTGCGGTGTTGTGGTGATCATTGTGTATGCCGTCCAGATTGCCCAGCAGGCAGGTGTCACCATCGATCCGGTTCTGGTGGCCGTGATGCTGGGTGTAGCCCGTATCGTGACCACTTTCTTCATGAGCGGCATCTTTGAGAAGTGGGGCAGGAAGCCATCGGGCATATTCTCCGCCACAGGCATGGGCTTCTGTATGCTTCTGCTGGCCGCCGGCAGCTGGTTCCCGGAATCGGTGGGCGTGATCCATTGGCTGCCCGTCTTGTGCATCGTGGCCCACATTGTGTTCTCCACTATGGGCATGCTCACGTTGCCGTTCTTCATGATCTCGGAGGTGTTCCCGCAGCGAGCAAGAGGCAGTGCCTCTGGTATTGCCATCTTCTTTGGCATGATCCTGGCCTTTGTCATGCTGAAGATCTATCCGAATATGGAGGCGGCTTTGGGCACTGCCAATCTGTTTGCCTTCTATGCTGGCATATCCTTCCTGGCGGCTGCCTTCATTGGCGTCTTCGTGCCGGAGACGAGGGGCAGGACACTCGAGGAGCTGGAGGAGCGCTGGCAGACGGGCAAGTTCTCGCGGCGTCTCACCGTTAATAACCTAAAGGATGTGGAATTGCATGAGGTCTTTCTCAAGAAGTAATCCTACCCATGTATATATTCCAAATAATCGAGAAGCAAGGACAAGTCCCGGGGGGAAGGAGAGAGTTATAGCTCGATTCCAATGACACTCCTGAATATTATTTATTAAATTTTAAGCATAATTGTTCCGAAATTGGATAGAAAGATAGGTTTTTTTTTGTTTTTGTTCTTAAAGTTTAATTTAGAAATCAAGAAAGGATGCTTTGGAATCTGGCTATATAGTTTTTAAAACGGGTCCCTGGGTATTCAATCTGTGATGTGATAAGTACTTAACAGCCTTGGTGGCCATGGAATGCGGCATATAGACAATTTGATAAACAATAAAAACCATTTACCAAGTAAACAAAGTCAGTTGAAGTGCATAATGAAGCTGTTGCGATGGGTAAGATATCAAAACAATGCATAAGCTCCATATATACATATATTTTGCTTTGTTTTTACTATATATATTTATATTTTTGTATTATTAAGATAATAAAGAACACATTTAATACAAGTTACATGAACTTACAATATCTAAAGTGGCAAATTAACCAATTTGGCAGGCAACCATCAATCCCTTGGAAATGCCATCGAATGTTGCCTTCAAACCTTGATGATGACTGAGTTTATTGATTACACAGAATATTACTCAGCGATTTCTGTATTTATTTGCAATGGAAGCGTCTGTGTCAGATAACACGGATTTAAGTGGACGCGACATGCATTTGAAAATCAGGTCATCAAATTCAGAATATATATAAATAATAAACAACACAATGAAAACCTATTGAAAGCAGTCATTTTTCCGATATGCACTCTGGGATTGTTGGCGCGTGTCTATTCCCGCAGTCGGGCCCACTTTCTGGCTCGGAAATTATACAATCCCTGCAATAGATTCAACCTTCAAGCTGCCCAGGCGTTAAGCCAAACAATATCTGGCCGAAAGCCACTTAAAACATGGTCATTATCACCACCTGATAGTAAATTATGCCCACTTATAAGCATATATACTATATATATGCCATACATCGGTCTCTGGGAGGTGCGATCGTGACACGTTGATGGATGATCATGGATCACGGGGCAAAGGATCGCAAGACGCGTGAAAATACTGAACCTTATCTGGTGTGGCATTGCGTGGTCTGACGTAATTCCGGAACCCACTAATTGGATTCGGTTGGGAAAACGTGTCGCCGGCTATCAGTAGGCAACGATCCGGAAAAAAAAAGTCCCATCACATCCAAGGGGAGTGTCAGTCGAGCGCTTTGTTTACCACTCGATCCGATAGCAATGCCTATATAATACTTGTATATAGTATATATGCCATATGTAGCTATATTTGCCCGTATCGATACACTTGTAATGCAGCCAAAATTGGAATTATTGGCACTTGTCGTGATTTGTTTGGCACTTGGGCGATAATAAGGAGATCTCCTCCTCCCTCGGTGATATAATTCACCAGGTGAGACATTCTCGAGCAAAGTGCAAAATATTACAGCAAAGAGACTTTAAGTGAACAGCTCCAGGTGGTCCTCTTTCTTTTCTGTAGATTTTGCGGTGACCGATAAAGAGTTTTTCGAACTAAACAATAGAAACTCAGAGCTTTACTATTGATCATCAGCACCTTCTTTAGAACCAATCATTATATATTACTCAATCAGTTGTCTAGTAGAATTACGAATAACTATTTGTAGTTTTCCTATTTTTCAAGTGGACAACCTTAAGTGTAAAACATTCTTATCTAAGTTCCAAGTTACAAGTTAGTCATTAATTTCGGACTATTTTCAGTTTTAAAAAAAGTTAAAATTTTGAAAAGAAAAAAACAACAATAAAAACAATAAGCAATAATGAAACATTTAAAAATAACGTACTTTTACCGCAGTAATCGAAACGCTGCCTATCGATTATCGCCGCCCGTGTGCTGTTAGGCGCACACTAGTACCAGCCCTGACAGAAGAGCCGTTACTTTTGCGTTCTGTTGTTGAATTTTAAATGTTTCCGTTTATTATTTGTTCTTTTCGTAATGTGACATCTTAAGTACAACAATTAGCTGCTATTTCAATATATGTATATATGTGTTTCTTAATTTTTGTTTTGTTGTATAAACGAATTAAAATTCAAGTTGTTTTGCATTTGCATTTCTTTTGAGTTTTGTTTTTCTTCGACCACGAAAATCTTACGAGTCCCGCTATACTCGGCGTCGTCTCTGTAATTCTGCTTACGTGTGTGTGGTGTCGTTTATTCGGTAATTTACGATTACGGGTTACATTACTTTAGTATTATAATTATTATTTAAATGTTTAGTTATTTCAAAAAAAATTCCGCTGGGGACTTAATAGTTATAATCTCTATATATGTTTGTATGTATATATATATATAGTATATACGCTTTGTATACGGTATAGTTAATATAATTGTTTTGCATTTGTCGAATATATTCCCTTTGTTTGCTTTGTTGCTTGCTATTAAACGGTTTTTTGTTTTTATTTTTGTTCCACTAACTTGTTCTATGTATGAATGTATATTGCTTTTAGGTATATGATGCATTTATTTGTAGGCATTTTCTTCAGTATTCTAACTTGATTTCTTTATCTTCTGTCTTTTTTATTTTATTTAATCTGTCGTCTTAGTTGTTCTTTGTTGGTGTTCGGTTTTTTGTTTTGTTTTTAGAAAATCTTTCATAGGGCAGTTCACGTTTCACATCAATCTTCGCCATATCCAACCTAGAGTTGACCTTACTCGTACTTTGCTTGCAAAAAAAATACTTCCTCCTCGCTTTACACTACACTACGGTAATATCGTAATTTCGTAATATCGTAACTTTCCTGGTACCTTTCCTGGCTTATCTAAATCTATGTTTACATATCGCTATATTCTTCGAATTGTATATAATCTGTCGGTGTTTTGTCTTTTGAGATGAAATATGAACGCCATGCTTTATATAGGGAGACTACACTTAAGGGGGGTAAAAAGACAGAAAAGGCGGAGATAGAGCAGAGAGATGGTCGAAATTGAAACCACGAAATAATACCAAAAGTTCCATAGGATATAGATAAAGCGTCTATTCAATTCTGTCTAACCATGATCTCCTTCCTCTCGCGCCACCGGAGCGGATGTGGATCTGCAATCCTAACCTGGTTTTGGGATCTCTAGAAGCACCGATTTTCTACTCTCCGCTACGTTGAGGTTCATTTCAAGTCGTTTTTTGTTGTTGTTTACTTGAATTTTTATGTTTTTTTGTGTTTTTTTTTTTAGTTTTTCTTTGTATAATATGTTTATATAAAAAACGCTTTCTCTTAGGCTAGAAAAAAAATTGTATGCATATTTCTGGTATTTTGGTTTTATGTTGTTGTTGTTGTTTTTCTTGTTTTATAAAAGATCTTTACCTTCTAGACACATTTACGTTGATATAAAAAATTTATAATGTATAATGTATATTTCCGTTACATAATTTCATTCTTGCATTAATTTATTGAACAACATTTTAAATGTATTTGCGATTAGGTTTACTTCTGTGAGGTTCTCATGTTCTACAATGTTAGTTATTAAAAAAATATGACAAAAAATGTATCTCTTAAGTTGCGTCTCCATTTCCCGGTCTCACGGTATTACAACAAAATTAGCTTGGCTGCTTATGAGTAAAGAAAAAATTCTCTAAAGAATTACACACAAAAAACAATAAATATCTATACTCTGACGTTCGAGAAAAAAAATTTATGATTCTTTTTGGTTTTGTCACATGCTCAAAAAAAGGTGACAAAAATTATGCTCATCTCTAGAAAAAAAAAGAATATTCAATTATTCGATTTTTTGGTTTGCCTTGGCAAAGTCCTAAGTTACACGAGACGATCGACCGCATGCTAGGTGCTAAATGTATATATATATGCATGTATATGAATTCATCTTCCAATTAACCGATTATTTTCTATGTAATTCCACTTACAGACTAAGGCTACAATTGGTTGAGAGTATTTTCTTCGATTTAAGTGACTCGGTGCCCCCGTCCTCCGGATGGGACAGAGGCTTTAGAATGAGTGACATCTTACATATTGATTTAACGAACGCTTTTCGTTCTCGAATTGTGTATATTTCAGAATTATCTTCATTTTTCTTGTTCTTTTGTTTTGTTTTGAATCGTAATATTTAGTATTCAGCACAACCAAGCTGTAAGTTTTATCAAGTGTTTACTGTGTGTCTGCACTCCCCAACTAGTCTCTCTTAAATCTAGCTTTTGTTTTTCATTTATTTTTTCTTTCATTATTCATAATTCGTTGACTTAATGTGCCTTCGAAGCGTTTTTGGAAATGGAAAAACGTCTTGTTGTTGAAATAAAAATAAAACTCAGGTATAATGTGGGTTTTTTGTGGTGAAAAGGTTTATTAGGTTGCCTTAAATAATTGATTTCTTATTTTCTTGTAAGTTTTTCTTTGTAGGCCAGAGACAATGTAATTAAATAATAAAATAATATTGTTATAATTCGGAAAATTATGGAGTTGCTCGAACGAAATTGTTTCCATGTAATCATAATTAATTAATGTGAATAGAATTAACAAAAGTATCGTCAATGAACGCAATATATATTTTTTGAAATGAACATAATCGTTGTATCCTCTTATTTATTTCCTGTTCCATTATAAGTTTATGCACCAACACCGAAAAAATTAATTTGGGCCCAAGGAGTGACCGGCAAAGAACACGATAATGCATTTCATTAAATTAATAAAACAATAACGTCGAAATAAAATAAAAACAAAATTAAAACATTTAAATGGGGCGGGTTTAGTTTTTTAAATAAAAAATACAAATGCAGGTCAACTCCGGGTGCCTAAGATTTTGCGTGCTATCTTCTTTCTTGTTTTCATTTTCGTTTTCGTTTCGTTTCCTATCCTTTTTTCCTATTTCCTTTTTTTTCTTCCTTACTGCATGATGTCTCCTCTGATTTACGGGCTCTCTATCACGGTTATTTCTTAAACGTTTCTGTTCCTTGTTTTTGTTTTTCTTGCTGCAACATGCTCAAGTTCTTTCGTATAATAAACTAAACAAAAAAATGGTTTTCATACAAATTATTTATATTTAGTAAAAAAAAAACACGTATCCTTCCATTATAGCTATGCAAAAAATTCTATGTGTATGTGTAATTTTGTCTGGGTTCTCTTTCTCCTATCATTCTTCATCCTTTCTGTCCTTGCCACTCAAGCACATTTCTAGCTAAGTGATTTTTGTTTTGTTTTGTTTTTTATTTATCCATAAACAGCCTGTAAACTTGAGCATGTCCCAGCCAAATATTATTTAAGCCATTTCCTTCGTTCGTTACACATAATATATATTTATATATATTTAGACAAAAAAATTGGATTTATAAATTATGAAAAAAAGAGATAATATACTCATATATATCTGGTTTCACTTCAGCTATAAACATACACAGGGGGTTCCCCGTGTACGTTGTTGCGGCATAGTTCGCGCCAAAAAAATCAGTTTCAGACACAGAAAAAAAAACAATCAGAGCTTATGTATTCACGCCTATAGCTATATAGTAGTAGTAGATATAAAATGTGTGTATATGTATGTGTGTGTTGTAATATATATGTATATATATATTTTTTATATGATTATACGTTATAAATATGTGACAAAAAAAAGTTCTTCTCATAGTTTTTTGTTTGTTTTCTAAGTATAAGCAAAAAAAAAGATCGCCTTCTTCATAGGCTTTTCAATCATTACATATATGTATACTACGTGTCTTGTCTTACATATAATTACAATAAGAAAAAAAGTTTCCTCCCAAATATAAAAAAAAGCACAAAAATGAAAAAAACCAACTAAAACATAAGGGTTAGAGTGAGGAACATAAAAAAATAAGGTAATTCTTGTGGGGTTTTGAGAACATAAAAATTTGGGTTTCGATGAATGCTGCTGTTGCTGCTGCAGCTGTTACTACCATGATCAATATAAGAGTTTCTTAGTGTTATTTAAATATATACGTTCGTTATATATAAGTTATAATTTGAAGATTGATTCTCAACTCTCAGGTTATGTCCGCCATAAAAATTGATTTGTGGTTGTCGCCGTTGATGTTGTTGGAGTGGATGTGGCTGCCGTTGTTGCCGCTGTTGATGCTGCCGCTGATGTTGTTGCCGTTGCAGTGGTGTTGTTGAAACTGTTATTGAGATGCAGCTGCTGCAGCTTCAGAGTTTGCTGATGCAGTTCCATTTCACTTGCGGACATGGGAAAACTGAAGTCATTCTGCTGCGTACTGTGGTGGTTATTACTATTGTGGCTGTTGGAATTGTTTGAATTATTGGAATTGCTAGTACGTGTCTGCTGATTGCTGCCACTGTTGTTGCTGCGGCTGTTGGGGAAGCCGTTGTTGCTGCTAGAGGGATTGTTGGTAAAGCCACTACTGTTGCTGGGGTAAATCCCGCTGGTTGCAAAATGGTTCACTCTGAGGCTGGGATGGTTTGCGAAGTTATTGCTGCTGCCGCTGCTGCTGCTGGGATCATGGTTGAACGTGTTACTGCCTCCTCCACTGTTGTTGTGGAACGAACCGGCATTGTTGTAATTGCCACCGTAGGCATTGGTATGATTGGAATTGCTGTTAAAGCTGCTTCCAATCGAAAGCAAATTATTGCTTAAGCTGCCAGTACTGCCATGATGCCCAGACCCTTGCGATTGTTGTTGTTGTTGAAAGGGCGGTGGTGATTGAAGTTGCAATGGCTGCAACGGTTGCTGTGACGGCTCCTGCGGCTGCTGTAGCTGCAATTGCTCCTGAAGATAGTGAAGGGCAGCCACTCCATTCTGGCGTATTGTATTAAAGCCAAAGCTGTTGTTGTTGCTGTTGGCGTTGATGTTGGTGTTAGCATTGGTGCTGGCGGTATTTGTGTTGGTGTGGGTATTATTGTGATTAATGTTGTTATTGCTTCCATTCGGACTCGTACTATGAGCAGCAACATTGCCCAGGCGTTGCAATTGCGATTGTTGTTGTTGTTGATGGTAGTGCTGATGATACAGTAGCATGTTGTTGTTGCTACCATTGGCATTGCTAGTGTTGGTACTACCGGTGAATCCCAACGCCTGCTGCTGTTGTTGGAGGAGTTGCTGCTGCTGTTGCGGTGACAATTATAAGTAGGGATAATGGTACTTCCTGCGGTACAGTCCGTCAAGCAACTCGGCAAAGTTTTCACCTATGATGGCAATTCAAGGAGGGAGACACAAAAAAGATTAAGAAAAGATATTCAATTAGTAAGATTCATCAATGAATTTTTCTTAGTCACTTAGTCATGCTTCTAAATAAAAATACATAAAAAAATTTTATATATATAACAAAAAAAAACTTATTGTAACATCTATAGATATCCTCTGGCCCTAAATGCAGTTTGAGCCCTGACTTAACTAGCCTAAGTGAGAGACTAATTATGTTGAGTATTTCGTTTAGAGAGTTTCGTTTGCCTTTTTCTTGTTTAGATGGTGTTGGGTTAGTGTTTATTGTTGTTTCTTTAATTTTTCTTTTGTTTTTGCTTTGTTAATTTTTGTTAACTTTCGGGATTTGTAGTTGTAGTTATAAATCAAGCAGAAGTTTGGTTGTTAGCGGTTCGATGTCGCTGTGTCTACAAATTAATTTCATTGTTAGCGTTTCTTTAATCACAAAGGTTTCCCACTTTTGATTCGGTTGTTTCTTTAACACGATTGCAGGGTTTTAATAATTTTCATTTAACGTGCCATGTTTTCTTTTTGTTATTTTTCTTGGAACTTTGGGATGGGATGGGGACTTGGATTGGAGTGTCATTGAATAGATTGATGACTGATTCTATGATGGCTCTATATATGTGTGAATATATAGTAAGTATATGATGTGACTGAATTGTTGCGTATATAAAACACTCACATACACGAAGAAAATTCAAAGTCAAGTGCGTTCAAAGAACATTAGCAAGCAAAACAAGTCGGTATACATTTGTAAATGGTAAACATCTAGTTCGTTTTATAAATCAGAGGAATCTTGGGGGTTTTGGTAAAGTGATTCTTGGTTTGCAGAGCAGACAAAGCAGACCATGGTGGGGAAGATTGAACAAAAAAATATATGTTGCTATTTAAGAACACTAAAAAAAACATCGTTCGAAATAGGGACTCTAAAAGAACTTGGTTTTGTTAATTGTTTAATTTTATTTGGGGTGAGAATATGAAGCGCAAGCAAACAAGGTTTTTCAAGGGCCAGAAGCAATTTCCATTCGGATTATTTCCTTATTATTTTTTTTTATAATTTTAGCGATTTAATTTGAAGTTCGAATTTTATATGATTTAATTTAGAGTTCGAATTGGGTGATTTCCATCTAGAAGTACAATTTTTTTTTGGCAATTTCTCAATTGGAACTTTTTCAAATAACGCTCTACGCCCTTGGCACGCGCTCAACAATAATAATACAAATATTTAGTAGAGCGACTGCCAAAAAGGCTAAATCATTTTGTTTATAACTTAATCGATTCATTTCTTGAGAGAGAGATATATGGGTATAGTAGCTGAATTATGACGTATGAGAAAGTAACAAAGAAAAACATGGCACGCTTTAAAAAGAAAAATCTGCTTTTTTTGGTGTTGTTAATTTTATACTTTTATAGATATATGAAGAATTTTAAAACTGAAATTCGAATTTTAGTTCTGCCTTCTCAATTATGTGGGAGCGCATGAGTGTGCAAGTGTCTTGTGTGTCTGCTGGTGTATATATATGTGTGTGTGCTCTCTTCTTGATAAATTGATAGACTACTTATAACAATTATATATTCGATCTCTCGGCTAGATCTCATTCTTAAGGGCTCTTAAAAAAAAAAAACAATAACAAAAAATCAATCAGGGATGTCACAGGAATCAGCTACAGGTTTAAAATCAATTAAAATGCTGCCTAGAAGTGTGATTTTAAGAAATTCACCATATGCTTAGGCAATTTGCACTTGGGAATTCTAATTTATTCATACTTTTGGATAGCATATCAATGTATTTAAGCCCACAATTTCCATGGAAGCCCTGCTTAACATTTTATGCTCTCCGTCAGGCGGAAAAGCAAATAATCTATGATAGATTACGACTAGGAGTAATTTATTAGAAATAGGTATATATATAAAAAAGGAATAATTACTATCGAGACCGAAGATAGCATCGCATATAGCATCGAATAATGAGCGTAATTTTTCCATAGCTCCGTCTATAATAAAAAAAAGGAACGAAACGAAAAAAAAATTGTACAACTTGGATTAGTTGTGGCGCAGATAATTTTTTTTTTTCTTGTTGGGTTGATTTGCTTGATTTTGGATGGGGGGAATATAAAAGATCGATTTGTTTTAGAAGATTTTTCAATCAATAAAATCTTCGTATTTTTTTCAACAACAATCAATGAGAATGAGTTGAATCGATCGTTTTTCCTTTACAACATTGATGTTTTAAAAAAGGAAAAGCGACCGAATCGGGTTAGTGCTTTGAGTATTTTACAAAATACAGTAGAGTGTCTACGGCATGGAAACAACAAATGCGAAATACAATGGGGAACACAAACTACTTGTTTAACTTGGCAACGGGTTCAACTTTTGAACTGAAATAGCAGTCCAGCAACTAAATAAAGGCTAAGGTAAATTAAACCAAACTAAAAATTAGGCAAAATCTTCAAAAACTGTCTTCGGTATGGAAGGTCCGAAGTGCTCGATTGTCTTGCAATTGATTGGGCAAGGATATCGTTTATAAGATCGCAAAAGTAGCTTTTCAAAAACGTTGCTTACTTGCTGGCGCAAAATAATCTTGATTATTTTTAAATTTCTTTTGGATTCTGGTTCTCACTAAAAAAAAAATAAACAACGTATTTCGACAAGCTAAATTTCGAACATGTCTTTCTCTATATCTCAACTAAATTATGCAAATGATATTTAATGAAAATAAATATAAAAAATAATATATCAAATAATAGTTCATTCTTATGTGATTTTTTTCTTCTTGTGAATGCAAAACAACAACAACAAAAGACCAAACAATAATATATAAATTAATAAAATGTCAAACTTAGGGGTCGGTTAAGCAAAATCTACAAGAGAGTTCGATAGAGTTTTTGCACATTTGTTGCTTGGCTTCGGTAGTAACAATTATAAATATTAATTTTCTATACTAGATATATGATTTGATTTCTCGTATCCACACTGAACACTGACAGGCACAGAAAAAAAACGTATACAAAAAAATGTTGAAATAAATTTGGTTATTTTTGATATGATTATGGTTTTTTCTTTTTTTTTTTGAGCACTCATAGATGATTAAAAAAAAAACAGCTCTGCACAAAGTACCACTTGGGAGAGAATATTATCGTCGTATACATGAAATACACTGGCAAAAAAGTTTGAAAAAAATAAGTAGCGATGTTTAAGGTTCGTTTCTTTTATTATTTGATAGTTTTTTGTTTGTTTTTTTGCACTGGAACCGATAAAGGGGTGTGGGGAGAAGAGAGACAACAATACGGTCATATTGTTTTTGTTTATTCTTTCCGGCGAGTAAAAAAAATACATCAATAAACTTTTCACAGTAAAAAAAAGAAAAAAAATAATGTGATTGATGAAGGGGGAAGTTGGTATCATATTTCTGAATGTTTATAGAGGGTGGTTTTTTTGGTGTGATCTTTTGGCAGCACCCCGTTATCGTTTCGGTTGAGTGCGCGCATACTTACCATGCGCCATTTTCACTTCATTCTATTCAATTTCATAGTGTCTCTCTCTCTGTCTCTGTCTGTCAAACAGCCGTCCGCCTCTCTCTGTCTCTTTCGCCTGGGGACAAGAGCTGTAAACAGAAATACTGCACTCGCGCTCTCGTTCGTACTCGCTCGCACTCACGCGCATTAGCGATGGGAAGGGGCACGGGCACTTAGATCCTGTCAAAACTCGCTATCTCTCTTTACCTCTTTCACTCTCTTTTTTTACTTTCTCTCTCACTTCCACACAAACACACACACACGCTCTCATACGCACGGTAAGGCAGATTAGCAAGTTCAAAAATAAAAAACAAAAACAACAAAAAAGGTTAACAGGAAAAGTATCAAAACAGTGGGAGAAAAACTTCCCGATGCAAAGTATTAACGGCCAGGTGTTGTTTTCCAACACTGATTGATTCTCAAATTTGCTTGGAACTTGAAAAAAAATAAAAAAAGTTGTCGGTTGGTTTTGGTTTTTTAAGTTTGTTTTGCGTTTCGCCTTTTTATTATATTCGTTTTCTCTTGTCACACTTTTTCGGCCTTTTTACTTTGTTTTTCTTTTGTTTTACGCTGCTTTTAACGCACTACAAACTAAATAATTATTAAAATTTAACGCTATTTTATAGAATAGATTTCATATAGTCAAATATATATGTATATTATACGTATATCTATATAAGTATATTTTTTCCTTTAAAAACTGAATGAAAGATGGTTAAGAAAGGGGGAATAATTGCATTATTTGGTCGATTTTTGTAGTTTTATTTTTGTTGTTGTTTTTCTTGCTGTGGATTGTAGAGCTGTAGTTGTTGTTGTTGTATTTTTTAGCTTTTGGCGATGAGAAATTAAAACTTAAAAAAAAGAACGTGATTCGAAAATTCGATATTTGATAGCTGATATATATTTTGATGCGATCTGAAGAGGCTGAAGAGAGGGGAAGAGCTAAGTGGGGGTAGGTATTTTTTACGGGCAACGCTTTTTTAATTTTTACTCCTTTAAATTTTTATGTTTTGTTGATTTTTTTTTAGTTCAGTTCTGCTTGCATTGCTGCAATGTTTTATATTTATCATCATTTGTTACGCACAGTCTTTTGTGAACGGGAAAAAAATTTACAAAAAAAACTGGAGCTGGAACACCACAAAAAAAAATATTAAAAAAAATGCACTCTTCATGCTTCGGTTTATGTGGGTTATGGTTAAATTCTCCTTTGTAGAAATATTTGTTTATTCTCTCTGTTTTAGTTTTTTTATATTATTTCTCTTTTAAATTAGTAGGTATCGATTCAGTCCGTGGTTGGTATATTCACATTCCATTCATAATTTTAGGTGAATCTTGGTGGATTCATTTTAATCTTTTCATTTAAAAAAAAAAGGTTTTTACGTGTTGTGCTGTGTTTGTTGTTGTTTTAAGCCTACTAAAACCATCTATATATCCGATAAAAAAAATGATTTCCTGAAACGAACTGGTTCCGCTTTAAGTTTGACACACACACTTAAAAAAAATGCCGAAAAAAGGAAACACTTGTAGAACTAGGACCCAAAATCATGTAAGAAATAGTTCTATCGGTTATCGGTTAACTGTTAGTTAGCATGTTTGTGATTGTGTGTGTGTGTGTTTTGGCTGTTGTTGTTGTAAAATCTCAAGGTTGTGGAAATTCCCGTTATTAAGTTAGTAATTAAAATTTACGTGGGGAATAGGGGTTGTTTCTATAAAAAAAATAGTGTTTTTTTTGTGTTTTTAAGTTTTTTTATGCAAATTATTATGTAATTACACTAAAGGAAAAAATGTACAATTCAATTTTTGTTTTTTGCATTTTTTTTTGCTTTTTGTTTACAAATACAACATATATATTATTATAATATATATGATTGTGTATAAATTGCAACAATAAATTGAATTTGTTTAAGTGTTACGAAGTATTACGAAGTTAAAATCAAAAATTTAAACTAAATATGCATTTGTTGTTTGTTGTTGTTAGTTTGAGTTGTTGTTGTTGCTGTTGTTTGTTTTGTTGTTGTTGTTTATAGTCAAATACAAAAAGAAAAACGAAAAAAAGAATCCTTAAAAGGGATCAGATGTGGAAACTCTCAAGATGCTTATTTTTGTTGAACAAAAAAATCATATACTTAAGGTATATAATTCGATAATATTCAGTGAGTGTGTGGCTTCTCTTGTGTGTTTCATCTCGTGGCCTTTGTTCGTTTCTGGATTTTTTTGTTTGTTTTGTTTTTTGTATTCTGTTTTGTTTTGAATTATTATTTTGTTTTTCTTTTTCTTTTTAAATTAACTTTTTGCATCCATATAGGGATGCGTTTTTTGGAAGCGTTGCTGTGATTTTATTGATCTACCTCTGTGCACCATATTGTTGTGTCCAGGAGCGATAAGTGGTGGTGGCGGCAGCGGTGGGGCGTTGGGTGGGACCACGCCCATCTGGGACATAAAATGCGCCGCCTTCGCCTTGCCATGCTCCTCCGCCAGCCGCACGGACAATGGCTGTGATCCGCCTTCGGGTATAACGTTGTTCAGCGCCGATATGGCCTCCTGTGCCTCCTCGCGCTTGTTGTAGCTATATTTCGTTATTATTTTATTTATCGGGTGTACACCATATATCGTACATAGTACATTGATGGTTGGCGATAGAAATGAATAATGAAAAATATGAGAGAAAGAAAGAAAACAACATGAGCTGGGGTGTGTCGAAAATTAAAATTAAACAAATCAGATTGATTTTGGCAATGAGAAAAATACAGTCAATGTTCTTAAGAGTTAAACCTCTTTAATGATTTAAAAATATCAGAAATAGTCCAAAGTATATGATTATTGTACTACAAATTCCTAATAATGCCATTGGTTTCACAATTTATCAATTAAGCTAATAAAAACACTTCAATTTTAAAGATTTATCATCAAACTTATAACAGAATTCGGAATTCAGATAATATTTATGATGTTCTCATTTAAAGTTCTCTAATTTATAGTTCAATTTTAATATTCTAAGAGATACAGAGGAATATTGAACTCAAAGAACATCGACTGTTTGTAAAAATAGCATTTCTCAAGCCTTCTGATTACTTAAATGTAGAGTTAAGAACAAGTTTTGGCACTCACCGAACAAACGCAACGCCCCGTGGTCGACCCGTGAGCTTGTCACGCAATATATTCTTCTGCACAATGGAACCGTACTTGCCAAAGATCGTATCTAGCTGATCGTCGGTTATGGTGCGCGGCAGATTGGTTACATACAGATTGGTGTCCTTGATGGATTCACCGCCTGGACGAGCATAGGAAACCTAAAAATTAGAAAGAGATTGGTTAGTCTTTGATCAAAGCACTTTTTGGTGTAAATAAACTCACCTTTAGCCGCTTGTTTCGCACTGTGATGCCGTTCAGCACTTTGATCGCACGCTGCGAGTCCATTTCGGACGTGAAGTCCACGAAAGCGTATCCAAAACTGTAGCCAGTCTGAAAGATGATAAGTAATTAGTATGTATTTTAAAGATTCAAAGGATCGCATTGGTTGCGTCTGAACCTACCTTATAGTCTCTCATGATTCTGCACGTGTTGATGGGTCCGATGGCTCTGAACAGGGCATACAGTTCGCGATCAGTCATATCCTGCGGCAAGTAGTTAACAATCAGGTTGGTATTGCTCGCCCTTGGATCGTTCAGGTGATCGTCACTGCCGCCGCTGCCCAGCGACAGGCCGCAGAGATTGTTCAGCGAATTGTTACTGGTTATCGGCGGCAGGTTGATAATGTTGCCGCCAAGGGAGTTGGCACTACCGCCATTACCGCCGCCACCGCCGCATCCGGGGAAATCATTGTAACCACGACGCGACGAGGAACTTGGAAATGAGAATTCTGTATCCTGTGGCGAGAACGCATAACGTGACTGTAATCAGATTGTACAAAGGGTATTCTAGTGTTGAGAGAAGGCCTCATATCGCTGTCTTGGGGTTGATTGATTGATTGATTGAATAGTTTAGGTATTAGTTGGTTAGATTGGATGGTTTGCTGCTGCTTGGTTCTTTCACTTTAGCTGATTGAACGTTGCTCACTTGTTAGTTGGCTCGAACAACGGGCAACAACAACACACAACTGAACTGTTAATTGTTAATTATTAATTGTTAACTGTTAATGATGAGGTGACACACACAAGGTACAAAAACTGCATATGATAACGTAGAAATCTACGGATAAAACGAAATGGAAACGGCAACGGCAATTCCAAATGCATCGAATATCGTAAATCGAAATCGTTTGTTGCATCTCTCATAGAACTCTTGATTTCTTTTGGATTTTTGTGTGGCTAGAGTTAAGGATTTCTTTAAGGCGTGCTTGAAACTCGAGTGCAGCAATTGGTTTTTGAATTTATTTGGATTTAAGCTTTGAATTGAAACATTCCCTTGTACATTCGCTGTACCTCTGTGTAAGTATTCTGTGGTGGTGGCATTGGTCTGTGTGAGCTAAACGGCATTCACAGGGTTGCAAAAACGAAAGACAAAAGAAAATCGAATTGCAAGAAATGCATAAAGTTAGGTATCTTTTTTTTTCTTTAGTTTTCTGAAATTCTCAAGTGTTTTGTGTGGGTGTATATACTGCATTGTGGCGAGTGTACGAGGGTCACAGTGATATTGAAAAACTGGGGAGAATACAGTGCGTGGCAAAACAGTAAGGCATCAATGCAATTCGATGCATTTAAGACTTCGTATCCTTTAGATATAATACTGTATTGTAACTTCAAAAAGTAATTAATGCGTTTTTCTAGAACTTATCGTTATCCATAATTAAAAGTGACTGTATGTCATATTTACATTCTGTACAACTGTTGCTATTAGTTTGCCAAGCACTGTACACGCTAAAGAGGGCAGAATGCCGAACGGAAACCAAAGCTGAGGCGGAAACGGAAATGGAAACGGAGGAACGGAAGTGGGAGGACGAACCAGGTGGCAGGGCGATACCTTAAGGTACGACATTTGCTTTTCATGTCTCATGCAGTTTAGTTTTGTGTAGGCGTGTGTGTGTGTGTATATTTTTTTTTTAGCTTGGTATCTCTGTGTTTCGATTTTTAGTTATTTCTATTTAAGGGTTTGTATTATCAAAAAGTTTTTTGTGTTGTTGTTGCTGGTTGGTTGGTTGGTTAGTTTATTTGGGTTTTTGTTTTCGTTTCTGTTTTTGTTCTTGTTTGTTTAAGTTTTGTTATTTAAAATGCAAACTTTAAGTTGTTGATTTTTGATGTTATCATAAACCAAAATGAAATTGATCAGCATCCAGAAAATAATTGAGTTAAGTTTTGGTATTTGTTTATTTGTTGTTTCTTGCTCGAAAATTGTAATCAAAAGCGTGTGTCCCCAGAGCGTTCATGAGACAAACTCAATAACATACAACTATTGATAGTAAGAGGCATAAAATTTATATTATTATTGTTATTGTTATGATAATTATTATCAGAAAACGGAACCAAACAAAACAAAACAAAATACAAAATCAGTCAATATCAAATGCATTGCTCTTATTTTTTTTCTTGATTATTATTATTTTTTTAAAATTTCTTTCTTATTTTTTTTTTTTTTTTTTTTTTGGTTGGCTCATGCAATGGAATTGATCGCTAACAATAATTATAAATTTCAGGCGTGTAAATTGAGATAATGTGAGTAATACTAACCATTCCAGATGGCAGTGAATGGGACATGCCAAAGCCACGCCCACCGCTGTTCGTCGATCCAATCAATTTGATTTGGGAAAGAAAAATAATGGATTAGTACACGGGAATATGATGGTGTTGTTGTTGATATTTAAATTAAAGAAAATACTATTTAAAATTATCAAAAATTAAGTGTATAAAGCGCAATTTACGTTCTACGTTTGTAATTATCTTAAAAATGATTAAGAAATGTTTTGGCGTTGGATGATCTGACAAATATAACTAACTTAGTCTTACAGCTACCTTAATTTGAATAAGGACGCGGTAGAGGTACAGTCACACGGCTTACTGTTAGCTAGCTAACAGGACACTGTTAACTGACCTGACCAGCAGTTTCTTATTCGACCTTAACTTATTTATAATTGCGAGAACCGTTTTCGGAACTCAAATAGAGGTTTTAGAAAAGTGATTAAAGATTTGACACATTCTCAGGAAATACAACTCGGCTTATCTACTCTGATTTGAGAAGATCCTGGTTATATATACCATTGAAGTGGCCAAAACTTTACATTGAATAATTAAAAAAAAAAAACAATTTTCACTTAAAAAAAAATAAACACTTAAAAAAATAGACACTTAAAAAAATTTTAACATATATTTTTTATGCACTTTCGATTCACCGAAAAAAAAGAAAAAAATTATGCATTTGCATGGTGCTGTTAGGCCCAATTCTCAAATGTAATAATCGGACACCATTTTATATGCAACACTTTTTCACTTAAAAAAAATAATATATTTTATTAAATTACACTTGTAGAGCACTTGAAAAAAAATTGGAAAAAAATAATGCAGACTTTTTCTTTCATTTTCCCACGTCGACTCTCGATTATAATGTCTAAGTTAGGACTAATACAATGCGTGATTTCTCCCAAAAATTTTTGTTTTATTTTCTTATGGCTTTATTTTGGATTGTATTTTTTATTTTGGGTGATGATTGTCTTACTTACGGGCATTGAAGGCGTCCTCGATTCAAGAACAATTCTGGGGGGCGGAGGGGGCGCGATTGCCCCCCGTGCAAAAAAATGAACTACATACTATCTAAGGAGTTAGTGTCTTTCGATTTCGCTTTTCGCCGATATCGCTTGTGGTGGCGGCTGCTTCTTTCTGGGCTGTGGAAAAAGATGTCTGCACACAATTAAATTCAGCTGCGGTACAACGACGATGATGGCAGGTTACGTAATTTGGCTGGAGGGGATTTTTTATATGATTTTTAGTGTGTGTGTGTAAGGTGGTTGTGAGAGTTTGTGTATGGGACGGAAATTTGACTTTTTCGTTTCATTTTTTTTATTTTTCATTTCATTTGCATCCTTTGGATCACAGTAAAAAAATATGTAAAAAAATAATTAAGGGAAAGGTTCTGACTAACAAATCTGAAATATTCGTTGGTAAGGTCACACTGCTTCTCTGTTGATTGTTGATTGTTGACAATTGTTGATTGATGCTGATGCTGATGCTGCTGCTGCTGATGTTGTAGTTGTAGTCGTTGTAGCTTTTGGCTTTTAATGACCTTAAGCAAATGTTGCGCTTTAGCATTTTGCATTTTGCCTTTTGGCTTTTATTCATTTCCTGTCGCTTCTCTCGCAGTAGAGAGATAGAGACGGAGTGATTAAGAGAGAGAGGTTGGGGTAAAGGCAATTTGTTGGCTATGCATTTGGGATGTGTATGTGTGGGAGTGCGTGTACTTTATGAGTGAACGAGCGAACGAGATGGCAACGCAATAACCACAACAACAACCGGTACGCTTAAGGCTAGTTTCCCCACATACATACGTAGGTAGGTGTGCGAAAGGGACGGCCCTACATACATAACTTAAGGCTATCGCATGTCAAGGTCCTGACACAATTTCAGCAGAGCACGTGGTGCATAAAGCTGTGGTTGCTCTGTTTACATTTCGATGGACTGCCGCCGAATATTGTGCCATAAATTATATGACCCCCCAAAAAGGGTAAAAAAAAAGAAGCAGCAGCTGCAGTGGAGCCAATGACGCCATCTTTTCTACTTTTAAATGCAAAAGTTCAACGGCAGCTGCTTCTTCTCATTTTATATGTCATGACCCCCTGGAGATTCTAGGATCTTTATAGGAATCGGACCACTACTTGACCCCTTTCTATATACTTTTTTGTTTTCATTTTTGGCAGCAAAAAACAGTCAATTGTGATTTCTTAGGCAAAACTTAAAGCTTACGTTCTACTGAAGATCTGGCGATGGAAGATAAATGGACAATGCGAGGCGAGAGAAAAGAAAATGTCACGGAAAAGTAAAACGAACACAAAATCAAGTAAACTCAAGGCAATTAAGGCAACAAAGAAAATAGTTTTAGTACAGTCACACCAAGCAGCAAGTGTGGAACAGAGACAAAGAAATAGAGAAGGAGAGAGAAGACAACATTTACCGGTACATTGTGAGGCTGCTTAAGTTGCACAGGCCGCACGATGAGAACGTTTTTAGGCCGTTTCTATAATCCTCTTGCCACAAACGAATTGCACAGATACGGATACATGTATCTGCCTTGGTCTACGCGTATGTAGTACAGTGTTGTGTTGTGTGTGAGGGGAAGAGATATAACAGTTCCGATTCCCACCGGAAATCGAACATGGCGCTCGTTGTTTTCTTCTTCTTCGTCTTCTTATTGAGTGTTGTGTTTAAATGCAATATATATATATATAATATATATAATTGTGGAAGATTGCGATTACTTTACGTTGCTTTACGTTTTTGCTGTTATCATTTTAGCATATTGCTTATCTTTTATCACATACAACTGTAAATATAGGACAAAAATAAAGAACACATGGCATGGTTGCCGTTACGAAAAACACGCAGACTATCATCAATCAGCGGATGTGTAAGTGTACGCAGTATGTGTGATCGCATGAATGTATGCTATGATAAATGCCAAACTAGAGCGAACGATATGGTCAACATATGTACATCTAATGAAAAGGGATATGCCATGAACACAACAAAAAATTTAGAATCTAAAACGAAAATAAAAGAAAACATTACGATTGGGAGCGGAGCATCTTTTTTCTAAATATTCTTTAGGGGGACACTGTCTGAATTCATATTGGGGGGATTCCCTCAAAAACGCTTGACTGTTTTCTGCTGCACTGCTTCTCGGTCAATCTACATGCTTGTGTCTGTATATGTATGTATATATGTTTTAGCTGTATTTAATTGATTATTGATTTTGCTTCTATCAGTGGCTGCACACCATCTAGTGCATGTAACAGTTAATTATACTTATATAAACAATGTCGCCGCTATTGTAATCCTTATTCTTGCCGTCGTTGTGCTTGTTGCGGTGGTTATTATTATCCATCGTCGTTTCTTTTTGTTTCTCACACTCTCTCTGATAATATCAGAATATAAAAACAATGAACAAAATCAAAAATGAACTAAAAACTAATCTGTGTGTATGTGTGGTGTGCAAAATGAGATGGATACAATTTCGTTTGTGCCACAGCGACGACGACAGCAAATCGATAACATTCTCAAGATCTTATCGATCGGCTATCGACATGCTATCCTGCACACACACATACCAATGCATATATAAGCCATCAAAAGTTTGCCAACGGAAAGACTTGGAAGAACCTGACAAAAAAAAGGCGTTGGCCGCAAATAATCTTTGCTGGCAAACTGGGCATTTCTGTTTCGTATAAACTATACAAATGTTCAAAAAAAATATATATATTAGGAATATCTGCATCTGGGAAATCTGGGTAGAAAAAAATGAGGTACACTTTCTCTTTATAGGTGTTTTATGTGTTATGTGTGGGGTAAGAGGAAGGGGACAGGATGGGGTAAAAGGTAAAACAGTAGAATTTCTTCTCTTTTAATGGCTAATAGTATGAAATTAAATTTTAAATACTTTTATACACCTTCAGACAAACTAATTGTATATAAAATATGTATTTTAATGTCAAATATCGTTAGAATTTCAATTAAATCAAGAGAAGAAATTCAACTGTAATTTTTTAATTGCAAATGTTTGTAGGGAAACAAAAAAAACAGGGATTTAACGTATAAATGGATCTCAAACGAAAGAAAACTCAGGTTTAAAAATTTACCTCGACTTGTTGTTGTAACCATATGGAGGATAACCACCGTTATTATTGTTACTACCCGGATTATTATTGCCGTACATATCCTGAGAGTTGCGAGTGTGTTAGTTTTCGAATCAACAAAAAATTACACCCTCGAAAATACACCGAAGGTGCGAAGGATGAGGTGAGTCGTGGTGAGTAGAGGTGAGTGGTGAGTTGAGTTGAGTTGAGTTGAGTTGAGTTGAGGAGAAAGCTTGATCTCGGGCGCTCTCCTCGACTTTTGGCGCTCAGCGCTCTCAGCTGGCCTGCTGCTGTTGTTTGTTGTTGTTATTTCTGCTCCTTCCTTTCTTCAATTGTTTATTGCTTTTCCGAAGTTTGGTTGTACTTAAGATTGCTCTTATAATTTAGTAGCAGATTCTTCCTTTTCTCTTTTCAGCATGGACACTGTCTTAGTTTCTATTCTTCTTTTTCTCTTAGTGTATGCTCATTTGCAGTTATTTTCATTTGCTGTTGTTGTTGGTGGCGCGCTCTCAGCTATGTGTTGTAGTTGTAGTAGTTGAAGAGATGATATTGTTGTTGATACTAAGTGGTTGTAGAGTTTGGATTTTATTTTAATTTATTCGATTATTGTATTTAATTGTTTATGGGAGGGACAAGGGAGGGCTCTACATTGATATACGAATACAAAAAAAAAAACATCAAACATTACAAAGTCGTGAAATTGTGTGCGACGCGAATTTGTGAACGAGGAATATTATGAATATAAAAGAAAAAAAAATATTAAAAAAACAATTAAAAACTCGCATTACTTATCGAGAAAATTAATGCTGTGTGTGTGTGTGTATTCTTGTATGTGAGATTATTGAAAACTATAATTGTCTTTGCGTTACAGTTCTGCCGAATATTTCTTTCCTAAAATCAACACTTTAAAATCTTTATAGTTCATTTTGTTTTCCAGAATTTAAAACAATATTTTCATATTTTAATATCACAGCCAATTCCTATCGTTCTTTCACAAAAAATATTATTTTGCTGTGAAAATTTTGTAAATAAAGTATAACACCTTATGTATTAATAATTTTCCAGGGTTGTCACCATAGATTATTTAAAAATTTATTTCTGCTTACAAATATCTTAAATACCTAACCCTTATCACATTGCATACAGTCGCTTTCCTAGCAACAAATCCTCGACCAGAGTTTCTATATCACAATTTAAAACCAACAATTTCTTAACCAAAACTTAAGTAAACCAATTGCGCTTGTATACAGTAATTTAGAAGTAGCGATCAAGTGGAACTATTCCCGACATACCTGGCCATTTTGAAATTATAGAATGACGACATTGTCGATTGAGGAGTCACAGTATCAATGGTAAAGTCCATCATGGTTAAATCACAAGGTATACTTTTTTTGTTGACAAATTGAATTTCAGACACACAACGAAATCACAAGATCACAGGACACAAGTTAGACTTGTCACGAGTGAAACTCGACTGAAGATGTCCTGTCAGCCACCGTGGTATTTAAGGATCGGCGAGGGGCTTGGGATAAGTGGGCGATGGGCGGTGGGTGGCGCAGGTAGAATCATGGGAGGCAAGGTGCGCGTGCCAGTCGCGTGGACTACCTAAGCCATCCCTATATTATGATCCTTTTAGGAAGCGTGCCAGGCGTACTTTCTTGGGTGGCCGGCTGCATCTCGCGGATCCCCGAATCCCAGATCGAAGACAGGCAGGCAGATGTTCCGCATTCTCGGAAGCTGGATGCTGATTCCAAGGCAAGGTGCTAACTTGGGTGGAAAATATCGAAAGGTGGAAATTGGCAAGCTGCAAATTGGTTACTAGGAAAAGCAGCAAGCTGCAACTTTTTGCCCGGCTTCGTCAGAAGATCAGAATGTTTTTTCCTACGAATATCCCAAGATAAATTCTAGTTGATCCAAAGCCTTATAAACTGCATGTGATTAAAATATTAATACCGCTTGATTTCAACTGCCTTTCAAAAGTTATTAGCTGAGTCAATGAAATTATTCAAAAGATAACTTGCATATTTAATCTAATATAAACAGACCTAAGAAACCTAAGCCTCATTATCAAATAATATAAGCCAAAAAGTATTCAAATTAACTTTTTCTTCAGAATAAATAAAATGCATAACGTACTTTCATACATATTGGTAAAAAAAAAACAAAATATACGTAAATAAAACATACATAAATAGACTTAATCAAATTGTTAATTTTGTTAGAATAATCCTTCATATTTATACTTAATCGTCATAAACATAATCCCCTCCATAAATAACCCATTACAGATTCCTGCAGCCGCCCGTTACAGCTGCCTACTTTTTGCTCGGATTTTAGGCAGTGGCAGGTGAAAATGCAAATTGACCTCCTCGCTTATAAAAACGCCGGGTGGAAAAAAATCTCGCAGCCCAAAAGTGTCGAATTACCAAGAACAGAGACCTCGGGAAAATTCTTTGCCGATTTTCAACAGAAACATTGAGTCAGTCAAGATGTGTGGTTCACTCAAGAGTCAAGAATTATAGTTGGTTATCACGAAATCAGAAAAGTTAAAATAAATTACATATATTTAAGTGAGCTGTGATTTTAAGAAAAATTCAAGTAAGTTGAATATTTATGTTTAGTGCAAGACAGCATTTGCAGCATTTAAAATCTGTACAATACGCAAAATATTTCAAATCAGATTCATAACAATGGAATACAAGAATTTATTCCTAGCTGACTCAATGGAATTTTAGCAACAGAATTTGCTTTATAAATTTCCAATGAGCTTTAGCTTTATTTTTCAGGAAAAATTCAAGAGATATATACGTATGTATGTATGTACAACTCAGGATCCCCCGAAAAGAGCAAGTAAACTTTTCCCATCCGAAATTTTTTGCGAAGAGAAAGAGAGAGAACGAGGAAATGGTTGAGTGTAAGGGGGAAAAAAGGAAGAGAAGAAAGTCGGGAGCCAGAAAGCGTTTGCTAAATTGAAAACGAGGGCAGCAGCGTCAGAGGGGCGGCAGCAGAGTGGGCGGGGCGGCCTAAATCGTACAACAACAAGAACAATGTTGCTCGAGAGGAAAAGCGTGCAATGGAAATGGGGGGTAGATGGGATGGTGACCATTTCGAGGGCTGCTTTTTCCCATATACAGCAGATTGCCAAAAAAAAATAGATATATACCGTATATACGAAAGAGGGAAATATGTACAGAAATATATAAGAGCGTGTGTACCTCACTTTCCAGCGTGAAAATCCACAGCATGCGAAAGAACAGGCGGAAATGAAGGAAGAAAATCGTCACAGGGAACGGGAAAACAAAGAAAACGAACAAACAGAAAAATATAAGGGAAACAAACTAGAAGGGTAACCTGAAGGTCTCTCTTTATAAATAGAGAACCCCAAAAGCAGAGTACCCAAAGTCGCCCTGGGTTTCGTTTTTAGACAGGTGAAAGCAAAATCACTAAGAAATCAAAACCCTACTCACAACAAAAATAGAAAGTCCCCCACGTGTGTACAAGCTCACGCGGAAAATTTGACAATATCATAATGATTTTCTGCTTCATCAAATTCTAAAATAATGAAAAAAGGAACAGTATTTAAGGTTCGACGATAGAAGTACAAAAATGCATAACAAGTTTGTATTAAAAATACTCAAAAACTTTTGTCGTTCGTTCGATCGTTTAAAATATTTATAAAAAAAATTAATCACAATGGAAATTCCAATTCTTAACTCGAAAAAACATCTATAAATATTTTTAAAAATATATTGATTTCTCATAAATTAATTCATAATTTATTTAAGTCAAGCCTTCAATATATTTATTGATTTTAATGGAAGTAACATTGGAGTCTATTATACGAACATTTTTCCTTCAGTGTACAAAGGAAAGAGAACAAGCTGTAAGAAAAGCTTTACAGTTGATAACAGAAGTTGACTAATTTGGAGCACACTTGTGTAAATAGAGCAGCTCTATTAAGCACACTCGTTTCGTGTGTGTATGCGTGCGTGGAACAGCTGTTGATAACAGCATAATACGACAGAGAGGGCAAATGGAATGGTTCGCATAGATCCATTAAGGTCTCTTTCTAACGCTCGAAGCTGGAAGTATGAGTCATTCGGGTGGTTGTGCTGCTGCATTTAACATGCGTGAATGAAATCGCACGGTTGGAAGGGCATTGCCAGATGCAATCAACGATCCCATCGAACATTCCAGCTGATCGCTCGCTTGATTATGGTTTTTGCTAAAAAGTTGTTGCACTCTCAAGTTTGTGTATGTGTATGTGTGTGTGTGTTTTATGTATGATTATGTATTTGTGCTTGTGCCAAAACAAAACACGACACGTTTAGCGAGCGCACCAGTACAGTGTTAACTGGAAATGAAGGACAATTTCAGAGTAAACATTTTAAAACCCTAATTTTCCCCATGTAGATGTGTTAAGAACAACCACCATTATTTTGTTCATATGGAAAAAATTCTACCAATCCCAAAACTTGTTGGTTTTTATTAGTGGAGATCACTGTAAATTAATTGCTGACCAAAAACGGGTAAAAAAGCGCATGTCTCTTAATCGGGATCAAATCAAGTCATATTATCAGTTTGAATAACAACAAAAGCTTGATGACAACGTACCCATCGAAAAATGCAATTATTATAATGCCTGATGCACAAATATATTGACATTTCTTATCCGGACTGATAAATCGAAAACCAAAACACGAAAACACGTTGCCTTCCACGATAACAGCTGGCAATGCTGTCGACGTCGACGCCGATGCCAACGTCATGTGGTCGCACAGTTGTGTATCGCAAACTAGTTACACCATGACACGAAAGGGAATAAAAATACGAGAATATATATAAGAGAAAACAATTCAACTTTAATAGAGCTGAGAAGATAAAAATGAAACTGTATTCTTGTTGCTAAGATTTCCACACGATAAAAACCCTACTTTTAATTTGTGACCTAAAATACATATTCGGAAGCAGGAAGTATGTAGAATTGCAGGATAGTTATAAATATGGGTAGTCGGCTGTAACTGTGCAGCGGAACTAAGGGAAGTTCGAAGAGAGGGACTCAGGTAGGCGGCCATTTATTGCTGGACGCGACTGTATGCATGTGTTGTTGCAAGTATGTATGTTTTCCTCGTCGTTTCCCCTTCTTTTTTTTGTTAGTAAGTGTTTTGTTGCTCTTGGCTCGGCTTTTGTTATTTCTTCCGTTTTGTCTGCACAAAATGGTAGTTTGTGTATAACACAATACTACCAAACGGCAAAAAAAAGCTGTTTCAAGTACACAAAACTTACCTAGTTATTGTCTTCTTTGTTTTTTAATTAATGATTTCTGGTATTTAATGAAATTAAACACTCACACACTGTGGCTTTACTAATGTACCGCTCGATTTTAATATTATGCTGCTGAATATCTTGTTGTTTCTATGTACTACAACGGTTAAAGAAAAAACAATACAAAAAACGCATGAATCGGAAAGCGATGTGAAGACGTAGAGAGAGGGCAACGGAGTGGCGGTTTAAAAACAGCCAGCGTCGCTAACACACACACAAACGTACGTTTCACTAACACGCATATTCGTCATCGCAGCAAAGCCGCAAACACAGGAAAGAAAAAACAACAAAAACACTAGCGAGTGGCGGACGAGGACGTGAGTATTCGTGCGTACGTGTGTGTATGGGAGAGAGAGAGCGCGTCGACGTTGCCATTTTACGGCTGTACTGTTTTGTTAGTGGTGGGAAAAGCAGAGCTAGCCAAAGGCTGAATGGAATTTTACAACATGGCTCGCTACTTTTTTGCACTCTATTTTTTTGGCTATGCTTTTTCGGTTCACAAGCAAACAAAAAAAAAACGGCAAAAAAAAAACAAATACAGCGAGTGGTTTTCACCTCTCTCTCTTCCGCCTTACTCGTTGTAGTAATGTACATGGGTGTGTGTGTGTGTGGATTCAAACCACAAAAAAATATATAAGAAAAAGAAAAAAAATGACTCCAAAGCTTTCTGTACTATATGCATTAAATATATACTACAACTACGCATGTATTTGCGAAATGATATCTGCGCATTTTCACAATATCTGCGTGTTTTCCATTATCATTCTTTGGATTTTCTCTTTTCGTTCATAATTATTATATACACTTCACGTCACGCTAGAAACCCTGTATGTACATGTATTTGTGGTGGCGGTGTTTATGTGTGTATTGTTTTTTTTTATTGGTTTGTTCACAACGTCGTCGGCACACAAATTTAGTCTTTGTCTTGCTGTACTTTAACTTTATTCGGCAATTCACATACGCTGCGAATATTAATTACATTTTGCAAACTCGAGGACACTGAATCGGGAGTAGAACAAAGTGGAGAAAAAAATTACCAGAAAAAAATGCACTGCGCGACTTCCTTCAGTTCACAGCAACAACAAAGCAGTGTGACCGAATTGCCGAGAAACACAAAAACCACGCATCGGTGGAAGTATCGATACTATGGAATACATCGATATCTTTACTTTCTGCGAGGGATAGAATTTGCTCCCAATTACATGATTTTGTTTGTGATTTGGCTAGATTTCAATATATTAGCTGCATAGGTAATGGTTCAAAGTTGTTTATAGCAAAAACCAACCTACAAAAACGTCACGCGAAAAACAGAAATACGACAGAGAAATGGGAATGTGAAAAGGAGGTGCGAAACTTGACTAAATGACAAGTTATTGCTATAGAGGAGCTATCGATGCTTTTATTTACTATCGGTCCCCTATATTGAATAATTTACAAATTTAACATAATTTTATTACTTTTGTTACAATAAAATGCAATTTTTGGGTTGCCATATTTGTAAACATTTTAAGTTTTTCAAGAGCAGCTGTTTTACTTATGGCGAGATAGCCACGATAGGTTTTGGATAATTGGGAAGTATCGTGACTCCATTCAATGCATTTTTCTAGAAAAATAAAATTATTTTGAGTTTTTTTAACGTCGCTGTATAAAAACTACCTCAATTAAAATTCTTAACAAGCTTATTTATTGTTAGCAATAAAACACCGTTTAATTGTAGTTGAGAATGGATATAAAATTTAAATGATATAGGACTTCATGCGCGAAATCTCGTGAACTAGCGAGGAACTAGTTACTTCGCATCAATTCCGAACTACTTTTATGCGTCGATCGATCCTAATAATCGATAAAATAATCGTTAATCGATAATGTTCTTCAGTCTCGCGCCTATTATTTTTACGACTCAAAAATGGAATAAAAAATTAATCACTTTCGAAGGTGCAGCGCCCGTTTTATGCTCTAATCCTACATTTCGAATCGAATTACTATTACAACATGTCATTTATTTGTAGTTCTTGTATGTCTAGATTATCAAGTGTGTACAAAGGTGTTACAAATAAAACTGTTTAACCTACAGTTAAAAAAAAAATTAAATAAAAAGAAATATCGTAAAAATTGTCGCACTTCGACATTTTACGTTTTATCCCTCTCTCTTTCCTTCTTTTCTGTATCTATGCGGATTTTCTAAACTTTTCTCTTATCTGTTTCGTTAGTTAAGACTACACTTTATCAGTACGTAGTTGGTAAGTAGGGCTTATATCTCCCGAGTTCCTCACTTATACCTAGCAAAAAAAATAATATACCGACAGCGTTATAATGTATAGGAATAAGGAATACAATATACAAAGCAGTCGACGAAGCCCGGATTTCTTCTGTGTGGGTTGGGGGAGTGGAGTGAGGATAGAAATATGGAAGCGAACACTCTGGGGCAGGCTGAAAAGGGGGAGGGGAAAGGGGTCATTATAACATGGAGCATAACATGGGGGTCAGTGGGCAGTGGCCGGGAGGGGGGAAGTTTGGGGTTAATCATCATCATTTTGGCATAACAAAGTCTTTTCGTGTTCCTCCTCCTTTCTTCTCTTTGTGTGATGAGGTGCATCCTTAGATGTTGTTGCGATTCCGCTGATTGCCGCCGCGGTGATTACGCTTGTTTCCACCACCACCACCACCATTATTTCCGCCCGCAAAGTGTCTTCCGCCACCACCTCCGTTGTTTCCGTTTCCATTTCCGTTGTTGAAATTCTTGAAGGGCATGCCGTTGTTGAAGGGCATCCCCATGCCCATATTGCCCATGGGATTCATGTTGCCCATGCCTCCTCCATTTCCATTTCCGCCTCCACCATTTCCGTTTCCGTTTCCACCTCCGCCTCCTCCTCCTCCTCCTCCTCCACCATTATTGTTGTTGTTGTTGTTGGCAAAGGGATTAAAGGGATTGCCATTGGGCACTCCGACGGGTGGTCCGCCTCCTCCTCCACCACCTGGCAGGAGACGTGGCGGCGGCTGGCTAAAAGGCGGTATATAGTTACCCATTTGCATCATCATGCCGGGCATCTGCATCACATTCGGCGGCGGCTGGCGCAGCATTTGTGCCAGATTCGGCGGCGGCTGCGACATGTTAGGCAGGATTACGTTTCCACCACCCACTCCAGTTCCAGATCCAACTCCCACGTTCGGTCGTGAGCCGCCGCCATTGTTGCTCTCTTCGGGCAGCTGCACCACCTGCCCATTGTCGTCGACAAAGATAAACAGCTTGGCGAAGATCTGCTGCAGCGTCGCATTGTTGACAATAAAGCTCACGTCGAAGATCTTGGGCGCATCCTCCGGCAGTTGATGATACTTCTTCAGTTCGGTGAACACCAACGCAAGCTGTTGGTTCACCATGATCTTGTTGTTGCTGCCAAGATCCTTGTACCAGGGTGAGCTCTGCATTATGTTGCGGATCTCGGAGATTTGTTTGCTACCGCCGGAGACATTTGTTGGACGCGTTTGGCCTTGGGCCAGTGCTTGAGCCTGGGCCTGAGCCTGTGCCTGTGCCTGCAGATGTGCTCTCCTGGGATCACGGCGTGGATCGGCTCGTGCTGCAGGCTTCTCCAGCTTGACATTCGGGGGCGGGACAGACATTGACGGCGGCGGGGTATTCATCGGTGGCAAACTACTCAGGACTGGCGGTAGCTGAATAGGCGGCGGCGAAACGGGCGTGGCATCCCGTACACTAGTCTCAGACTCCGGCGAAGCTATACCGGCGGCTATGCCTCGTCCAAAGCTGTCACCACCTCCCGATTGAGAGCTGCTTGCGGTGGAAGTTGCGGAAGAGCCCAAGGCCCCGACCATGTCTAGTAACTCGGGCAGTCCGAGAATGCGACGAACGCGGGGATCTCGCAAATCGCGCTGCTCCTTGTGCCGTGCACTGGCCCGCTGCTGACGGTAGTCCGGCAGCTCCACATCCACCTCCAGCAGTTGCCAGCGAAGCGGAATATGGGAAAAGATTGCCGCATCGATTTCCGTGGCGGGCAAATAATGTTTGATTGGCTCAAAGGGCAGCCTCATGTCAACATCCCGATCCTGTGACTGCTTATCATCATCATCATCGCTATTCCGGGGCAGAGGCTTCTCTGCCTGGCTGGGATCGAAATCGTACATAGATGAGCGGGTATAAAACGAGGAAGTTGTTTGAGGCTGTTGCGATGCTTCCGCATCATCCTGCTTGGGTGACTGTGAGCCCGGCTCCGGCGTTGGCGTCGGTGTCAGGGAACGCGAATTCGAATGGTTCGAGTTCTCATTGCTGGACTCCCCGTCGCCGCTGTGCGCCTTGAATGGGTTGCGTATGATGTCGCGGTAGAATGCCGCTCTAGCCTCCGGATCTGGTTGCTTGTCGCCGAACAAGAGCCGGCTAAACACGTTGCTGCTGCTGCCGCCGCTGGGCACTGGTCGCAACCCGGTTGGATCACCGCCGGTTACAACCGATGGCGACATCTCCTGACTGGGCGAGGTTGCGCTGGCAGGCAAAACTTGTGTTGACGACGTGCCCTTGCCGAGCATATTGCTCATGAAGCTGGGCAAATCGAACACGGACGGCAGGGGTGCCTCGTCTGTTGCGGAATCCTGGCGACTCACTGGCGCTGCTTTTGCGGGACTGCTGGTCTTTTGCTCCTCATCGTCGGCGGCCGACTCGTTGCCATCATCGATGACCAGCTGCTCATCATCATCCCGATCATCATCCACTGAAAGGTAAATTAGGGAATAAACATTATTGCATTTTGACAAAAGTATTCCTAGAAGGGCAAAAGTTTTTGAAGAAGGAACCTCAAACTTGGAGCTCTTTAAATTAAAAAAATAAAAGAACTTATAATTCCTAGCCAATCTTTAAACAATCTTATCTTTTTCTAAATTAAGTTTCCTATTAATAAAGTAAAAAAAGAAAGGAAGCTAACTTCGGGGTAGCCGAAGTTCGTATACCCTTGAAGTAAGCCATAAGATCATAATTTCGAATGTGCAATTGATCATAACTAAGCCAAAAATGCATTAATTTTAATTCGGGAAGCTATTCTGTGTTAGTTTTCAAACGATTAACAAATCTGCATACTTAGTTTACAAATTTTTTAAAATAATTTTTTTTCAATTTTTTTTTTCGAAAATTTTAACGATGTAACCCCTTATAAAATTTTAAAAAAAAATTAAAAATTTTTTTTCTTCCGAACATGTCTAGATCGATTCGGCTGATCATGCTGATCAAGAATATATATGGTTTATAGGGTCGGAAATGACTAATTCACTTAGTTTTAAGCTTCTGACTAAAACAATGGTATAATATAAAAAAGGCTTTTCTTGCGAAGATTTCTCTAACTACCAACTAATTATAAATGTCTTTATAAAATTCCAGTACCCCAATATCCCGGAAAGCGTCCCTTAACTACTTACGTGGATCGTTGGCCGAGAAGCCGACATGGGCATCCTTCAAATACTGCGTGTAGTCCACCATAATGAAGCCATTGCTGTTTGAATTGCTGTTGGTTTCCGTTTCCGCCACCTTTGCCGGATGATTGCTATGTGCGAAGATAACAGGAACAAAAAAAAGGATGAGAATTTGGCTTGGGTAATCCTAATCCAGCTAATTAACTTACCTGTCTGCTGCTTCCGGTTGCGTCTGGGGCTTAGCCTCTTCGGCCATTCGTTGAATCTCACCGATTTCGACCAGCGTCAGACCCACCTCTGTTAGCTGGCCAAAGGGTACCTGCATCATCTGCTCCAAATTGTTAATGCCCAGTTTGTTCAGCTTGGCCATGTGCTCGGGACTTAGGACGTGACTGAGATTAGCCAGCTCCAGATGGGGTGGCAACGATGACTTGCTGGATTCCGCGGCTGCTGGTGATGAGTTGCCCGGCTCTGTTGCTCCTCCAGGCGCCTTTGCTCCAGTCTTTCCTTCCCATCGGGATTTCCGCTTTTTCTCCTGATGAGGTGGGTTAATCACAATATCTAAAAGAGACGGAATGCACACGCCCACCTCCGCTACCTGCGTTTGCGCCTGCTGTTGCTGCTGCTGCTGTTGTTGCTGCTGCTGCTGATGTTGCTGCTGATGCTGTTGCTGCTGATGTTGTTGATCCTGACGCCTGCCCATTCCACCGCTGACCAGTGTGCTCCAGGTATTTTCCTTCTTGAACTGCTCGCATAGCTGCTCGTGTCGCCGCGTCATCTGGGCCAAAGCAACGTCCCTGGACTTGCGCTTGAAGTCGCCAAGGATCTCCTTGGGAGCCGTCTCCATGTGCTTTAGCAGGACGTTTCGCAACTGCTCGGAGAGGGGCTCGCCGTGGTGGAAGAGGCAATCATCACCGGCGTAGCAATCCATGCCCAAGTAATAGTATTTGCAAGGGAACTCCTTGTGCATGTAGGAGCACTTCTCCCGCTTAGCACAGCAGTCCATTAAATAGAACTTGCACAGTTCCAGTTTGCGCGGATCGATGCGACCGCTCATCTTGTCCATTCCGCCACCGCCACCGCCACCACCGCCATCAGGGGAATCTCGACGATTGCGCTTTGCACCCCCCATGCCGCCCTCATTGCGATCCCGATCCCTACGCTTTCGGTTGTTACGCTGATCCTTATCTCTATCACGACGCATTCGCCGGCGTTGTTGACTGTTAAGGCCGCCGGGACCTGGTGCCGCCTCATCTTCGGAATACGAATCGTAACTACTGTAGGGATCCTGCTGTGAGTCATAGCCACCGCCAGCACCTCCGACCGATGGCCCATCTCCCATGATGTCCCAGTCGCCACCGCTGAAACGCTGACCGGCACCACTGGATTGGCCAGAGGGTGGCATTACCGCACCAGCGGGCGGTGGACTGCCGCCGCGGACGTTCATCATCTCGTATTCATCCATGTCGTCGTCGCTAACGTCACCAACGGCCGCCGTACCAGGCGCCTCGTCTTCTTCACCGCGACGTGGACGTTTCTAGAGGAGATTCAAAGGAAACATTCGGTAAATATAGGAATAATGCATGGCCTTAAATGGATGTTAAAGAAAACATAGGAATATTTTTTAGGTAACAAATGAAAAGATCGTATCAATCTCTAAAATATTGATAAATAAAACTTTTGTTTTAAGCCCCGGCTAAAGAAATAACATTCGATAAGGATATTAACTTAAATTAGATGATATAAATTATATATTAAATATTTATATAAATTATATATTAAATGTCATTTAAGGCTTTGCAAATGTCAAGCTTAAAGGTCGAGATCACAATATATACATTGAGTCTAAATTTCTAGTTTTTTTAAGCCTTGTAGTATCCTTAAATAGCTCCTGACTGAGCCTCATGAAGCCCCTATATTACCAAGCCAAGCAATCCACACGATTGCCAGTTAGGAACTAACTATTAACTGGCACAATCATATTGGTCAGGGCTAATTAGTCACGGCAGATTAAACACATTTACTGGTTGATTGGCAACACCTAATCATGTTTCCACATTGGGTTTCACAGGATCCTTAGATCTGGAGATTTTTGTCAAAGCTATTATATAAGTATTGAGAGATATTTACATATATCCTTGGCTTACAAGTCGTTTCTTTACAAAATATAGTTTATAAATAAATTTAATCTCCATTTCTATAAAACAATCACATGATAAATGCAGTATTTAATCAATATTCGAAATGGAAACAAGATTAAAGATTCTGCTCTATGGTTTTACAGGATATAAAATTAATTTTCTCATAAACTAGGGTTTTTTTTAAGTATCTTATGTTAATTTGGATATGACCTTACCTGACTGTTGTCCCTATCCTTTTTCTGCTCTCGTTCACGTTCTTTTTTACGCTTCCTTCGCCTGCTGCTGCGACTGGGCTGCGGGATGCCACCAGTAGATGCCTCAACTGATCCCGGTCCCGTTCCAAATCCGTCTATTGGGCCGCCATCACCCAGGTCCTGGTTAAGGGAACGCATCCTTGGCATTGGTGGTTCAATGCCTTTCTTTTTCAAAGCATTTGCAATGGCATTCTCGATGCTAGATGCATGATCATCTAACGGATAGGACATGGAAAGCGAAACGATGGTAGTTTAAAGAAAAGGAATCTTAATGTGATCGGTGCTGGGAGCTCTACCTTCCAATGGTCGCGGTTTCTTGGACTTGCCGCCGCCGCTATTGTTATTTTGTTGTTGCTGGCCACCGGATTCGGAGCCCGGTGGTGGTAATCCCATAACGATGACATCCTCGTCAGCTATTTTGTTCTTGGTTTCAACGACGCCCACATATTGGACATCATCTTCCGCTGGGGATACCAGCTGAAGCGTTTGTTGCTGTGGCTTGATCGCCTGCTGTTGCTGCTGCTGCCGCTCTGCCTCCTCCTCCTCCTCATCATCGATCTCGCCATCCTCAAGATCCTCCGCCAAATCAATTACTGGCACATCCGCCACAACGAACGACATTTCGCTGTTCTCCTATATATCAGATACCTCAGGAGGATAACCAATTCGTGCAAGGACTATGTGTTAGCTGGCGAACAGAACAAAAAAAATATATATATTGCTAAAGGCGCTGGCTGGACATGGTTACATAAATCGTAGCCCTATATATAGCGTACAATAATGTATATATATCTTCTATAGTTCAGATATGTGTGGCGATTTCCACCTGACCAACACACACAAACATATATACTGCTCGAATGCTAAAAATCTCAATGAAAAGTGAAAGGCTCGAGCTCGAATATGGACTGTAAATGAAGGCTTAGCTTCCTAGATGAACAAAGGTTTTTATTTTGTTGAAATTGAATTTAAAAATTAAAATTTTGAAAATACTGTAAAAGCAAAAACCACTTTTAAAAATCATAATTTCTTAAACCTTGCTCAGTTTTGCATTTATGCCACACAAGTTTTAGGAAAATATGAATATGGAAAGATAACATTTTGCAGGAGCTTAAATTTCAAAATTTAATTAAAAATGTGAAGATTTATGAAATAAATTGTATCTTGCGTAAAAAATATTTTAAATTACATTGTATTTCAAGTGCAAAAGTAAAATATACGGAATTTTATAATAATAGGTTAATTATTATCAAAGGAATTTAATTGAAAACATATTATGTTTGAACCTTTTTTTAAAGTTACACATATTACAAATTTATATTTGGAATGTGATGTAGTTTTAAAGTATTTTAGATACTATTTCATAAAAAAAGGAATTTAGCTCAGTTATGTATAATTTAAATTTAAATATTTAAAGAAAAATTTTAAGCCTGAAAAATGGTAAGATAAAACAACAAAAGTTACCACAATTTTGAAAATATTTTAAGTTTGTTTTCGTTATCGTGTGAAAGAGAAAAGAAGAACCGTATGCAAGAGCAGCAAAGTCAGACGCTGATGCGCATGTGTGTGGGCGTGTATCTGGAACGGTACATTTAATCCGCTTACAAAATATATGCGATCTCCAATTAATAGAAAGCTACAATTAACTGATAGCTCCAAACTCTTACGCACACACACGCAAATATGTATGGGCCGCGTGTTTCATTCTGACTTTGGCTTGTTTATCATGTCGTCTCCCTTGCACCGACCGCCATGACCTAAGCATGGAGCGCAGCTGCGCTCGTTACATACATACATACGTACATGCACAAAAACAAACATGTGTATGTATATTTTTGCGTGTGTTTGCTTGAGAATTGTGAAGTAAAAGTAAAATTGCTTTTCTAAATCGCAATTACATATTTTTTACACTTTGTTATTTACGTTGTTGCTGTTGTTCCACAAATGAAAACCCCGTCAATGAGGCGAAAGTTTTTGCTATTATTTCTTTACTGTGCGAATTTCTTTAAATGCGACTGTATATTGCGTGCCTGCATGTGTGTGTGTATGAATACAGCTGCGCAGTTCGCAGCAAAACACAAACAGGCTTACAAATATACATTTAGATGTACATTGAAAGAAAAAATGCTTATTTAGGCATATTGTTGCAGTTGTTTGCTTGTTGCCATTGCTACGACGGGGTGCGGGGGGGCAACTGCATTGTTTTCCAAACAAACATATGTATGCCGTTTTTTGTCCATGCTCAAACTCAAACATGTTGGCCTCTTTTGAAGCTGTCTACCGACCTAGGGGCGTGGCCCTGAGCACTCCTACGTACATACATACATACATATGTACATACAGCCTGTGCGGTACATGTACATACGGACATACATACATTTATTTTTCGGAACTATGCAGCCCCAAAAGCAAAAATAAACATTTTTCCTTTTTACTCGATCTTACGTTTGTGTGCGCATTATTTGTTTTGTTTTGTTTTGTGGAACATTCATTAACAGCTTTTGATATTCGATTATAACATTGCTGTTCGTTTTTTTTTTGCTTGTCGGTTAACTTTTCTCTTTTTTTCCTTGATTTTTTTTGCGTTTTCTTCGTTGTTTGGGTATTGTTGTTGTTTTTCCTTAGAATTTTACGTTTGGCGTCGCTTACATAATGTGGAAGTGGTACAGTAGGTGAATAAAGATATATATACATGCATATATATAGCGCACGCTTATGTACGTTCAGTTGCGGTTTCTGCAATTGCTATATACATATATAGTGACATACATCTGATGTATACGTATGTTCGTAGATGACGCAGCGGTTGTGTGGGTACATATACATATATAGGTATGAAAAAAGTCGTCGAATATTCGCAATCTGATTTTTTAATACTATATATGTACATATGTGTGCGAGTGCGCGCGCTGTCTCGCTCGCTCTCCCTCTCGGCCAATATCTCTTTCTCTGTTTCTCTGCCTGCGGCCCCTGGCCTCAGTATATCTCTCTCCCTTTCTCTCTCTCTGTTTCTGTAGCGCTCATAAACAGAATACAGAATACAATATACAAAAACATTAAATTAATAAAACTTCGTCCCATGAGCGTTGTGAACAACAAGAGTGACCGCACTAGAGGTGGAGAAAAATTCGATGAAAACATCGATGCATCGATGTTTTGAAAAACTTGCGGAGTATCGATATTAGATGGCGACTATCGGTGCTTGTGACACATACCGGTCTTTCCCTCCTCTGGTCACACCTAGTTGAAGGGCGGCAAACGAACATTACGAACAAAAACGTAACCGTTAATGTACGTCAAATGCCGGGTCAGCGGAACCGTTTTTGATGCAATGAAAATTAAAAATAATAAAAGAAACAGTACTAATTTTCATTACCAATTTATAAATTCTTTGTTTTTAGTGGGCTTCACATAAAACAAAGCAAAAGAGCTCGTTTTTGTTTCCACTTGGTAAGAATTTGAATTCCCGCCAAAGAAGAACAGCTGTTTCCTTCAAACATAGATCTCGTGATTTTGTTGCGATATGTGAACAGGAAATTCGTCCCCGTTGACATAAGTATAAACGGAACCTAGCCAAAATGAGCGGGTGACAACGTTGGACTAAAAACATGTAAACCCAGGGGCTTAAATATTATTCGTATTTTCTCTTTAACTTTCGAACTTGGAGAAGATTGTAATTGGTTATGTTATTAACAGAAAAATTATGATGAAGTTATCGATAGTAAATTGTACACAGGAATCATCGAGCTTACTCTTCTCTATCTTCGTGCTATCGAAATCTGCAGATCGATAGGCGGATCACCTGTTGCGTCCCATCGCTATTGAGCAAACAAGTCTTCTGATGAACGAAAGCGGTTTTTAAACCACTGGATCTCTATTCGTATTTTGGTACTTCCCCGCATTTGCGAGACGCCATGGACGGATCAAATCTTTTAATCCAAGTGGACACCATCGATGTGAATGATCTGGTCTATGTGGAGCGGGATCTGAACTTCCGGCAGAAGGTGAGTGTGCTTTAGCACAGATAACTCGAAAAATATGACTCAAAAAAGTAATTTTCGATAATTAAACGATCATGCGGCTACGTTCCAGCTTATCTCCTGGTAAAAATGGGTTTTGCAGCTGTGTAGCTTTAAAAAAACCTTTTTAAATTTTCTAATTTCCCCCTCCAGGTCGGGCTTTGTTTCCTGCTCTTCAGTGACGTTGATGCAGATGCCGCCTTTATATTGCAAAAGCTACTGGCCATGGCCGCAGGGGATCGGCAGCAGTCCAGCGATCTACTGACACAGTACTCGAAATCTCGGCCAGATACTTGGCGGCGGCAGCTCGTGGAGGGGCTGTGCATTATCGGAGCCCGGCAGGTGCTTCGAAAGCTGGGCTTTCGGTGGTCTGAGCTGCGGCTGCATTACCTGCCGCACATTGCGGGAATAACGCTTCATGTGCATCCGCTGTTGAAGAGCCTATACAGGATCTGTGAGGATCTGACGATGGCGCAGAGCGGTCGCCTGATTCTCGAGGTTAGCGAGAAAGTAGGACGGCAGCAGGCAGGAGCTGGGGATCCGCTGCGTTTCTACGACACTAGTTTTATGGAGATCTTTCTGCTAGATTGGCTGACAAGGAGATGCATTCGACTAGGTGATCTCAATGCCACGGGGAGCGACGTCCAGCTGCTGATCGAGCACCTTAAATTCAACGATATGCAGGCGCAGGCCAAGCTATTAATTGATACAATTAATAGTAATGCTCAAGACAGCCAAATACCTGGACCAGGTAGTGTGACGCCCGCTGCTCCGTTGGCTATTAAGAGCGAGACTGTGGCGGATAGCCAGCAGGCGGCTCCAACACCAGCTTCAGGTCCAGCTCCGCCGACAGCACCTCTTCGACGGGGGATGCCCTGCAGTTGAGCCGGGAAAATGCTGGCATCGCCCTGATCATCAACCAACAGAAGTTCCACAGAGACGTCGGCCCAGAACTGAAGGTAGTTCCTCCTCTTTACTCTATTGATTAACTCCAAACTGATAACCAAACTCTATCCATATAGAAATATCTGTCTCCAAAGAATTTGGAAAGACGCGATGGCACGGATGTGGACGAACGGCGGCTCAACGAGGTCTTCTCCTCAATGGGCTACCAGGTGGAGTCGCACTCCAATGTGGACCACATGGAAATGGTGCACCTGATCCGCAACGCATGCAGTAGATCCACGATCCGAGACTCGTTGGTGGTCTGTATCCTTAGCCATGGAATCGAGGGCGCTGTGTATGGGGCCAACAGTATCGCTTTACGGATTTCGGAACTTGAGAATGTGCTCTGCAGCGATGTCCCCACCCTGTACGATCAAACCCATTGCTTGATCAAGCTACTGTTCATCCAGGCGTGCCAGGTGGAGACAGACAAGAAGCTGTTGGAGAATCAGCATGGACTACCGGTAAGTCGCAGGCGGCAACAGCAGGAGAACGAGAATTAATTGTTTTGTTTCCTATGTGCACCATGCAGTTTCCTTTGGATGCCACCACACAGTCGCCGGGCCAGCACTTGCATATGCTGCGAGCCAATTCAACGGTGAAGGGATTCTCTGCCCTGCGGCACACGCACACCGGCAGCTGGTTCATCCAGAGCCTGTGCGATAACATCGTTAAGCATTCGGATAGGTGAGAGAGTCAATCATTTTAGAAAATTGAGCTCCGATTTAATGGTTATTCTTACTTAGTGTACATATAGCTGACATCCTGATGATAGTCACCAAGGAAGTGTCAGGGAAGCGGGGCAAGAACAACGAGTCAATGGTGCCTGACACAAACGTTAGGCTGACGCAGCATGTATATTTACCACCGCGATGTCCCTAATTGGATTGAATTTTGGAAGGACGACGCAATTTCTGCAATATGTTTAGTAAAACAGTACGCGTTCTTATTCTTCAGGAAAATTGATACAAATTGCTTTCCATTGAAACCAGACCAGCCTTTATCAGTCAAGAATTCATTTGTCTAGATACTTTTACTGATAAGCAATAAAATTAAGAAGAACCCAATGCAATAATCTATTTCCATCAATGTCTTGACTCTGTAGTCTTTTTAAATATAGATCTCCCTACCTACAGCGTTGGGTCTTGCGATTCTTTTTTGTATTTTAAGTCTTTTGGACCTTTTCAATAACCTGTTTTGAGCAAAACTCTCTGTCTCCCTAATTTCAAAGTGTCCGTTGATAACCAGTTTTTAAAAAACACTTTAAATTAGTTTTTTGCGAGTACTGTGACATATTAATGAAGCAAAGCTTGCTACCTGCCTCAATTAACTATTAATCAATGTATATATATAATTATTGAAATACAATTTAAATCAATTACAATTACAAATGTAAAGCTTTGATACACTTGCATTTATGTCAAAAATCTTACATAGACATTAGGCTTTTTATAATTGATTTTCCTTTGTGAAAATTTAATACCCTCTAAGAGTCAGTCAAACAAAATATATACATATTTAGCAACAGCTTCCCATGAATTCAAGTATGAAAATATACCAGAATTCTTACTCAATACTTTGGCACTGCTGTTGGGTTGATAAAACTGTTATCAAGGAATACTCTCACGTTCTTGGATTCCTCTATATTGCTTCTGTTATATTTTATTATAATAAATCTACATTTTAGGGTTCTATATTAATATTACATACATACATAAACTAATGTTTAAAAAAAGCTACATTTATATTTCAGTTTTGTGCGATTGGTTATCGTTCTTTTTTTGTTGTTCACTAGAATTGTTATGAATAAATAAATGCGGATTGTAAGACCTTGTCTGTTCTATGTACGTATATACAGTCTGGATATATTGATATATATTTAAGTAAGTTTGTTTTTGTGGCTATACAACATTGAGATTTTCGCAAGAATATTCACTGGCCAAACCTGATATATGTATATGTATATGTATATATGGCGATTTTTGGTCGGATTGAGATGAGAGTATTCAACGATTATGGGGATTGAGATAGGCTTTGAAGCCACAGAAATCGCTGGCTACAAAATTTCTACGTCTTACATTGTATTTGGGCCCTTAAATACAGATCTCTTGGACATAATTAAAAGTTCGTCTTAAATGCATAGCGATTCCTGAGGCAGCCCTGCATTCGTAAATATTGGAGTAACTAAAGATTCAAAGCTGAGTCGGCAAATGGAATTATCTCATTAAGAATAACTTTGTTCATTGCTTTTGTTTGTTGGATATGGGGAGGTCAAAATGAATATTGCACGATACTAAAGTAACGTTAAAGTAAACACGAAAATATTTATGAATAACGCTCACGTACTTTAAAAAACAATCAAGTGTCGAAAAGTGCCATTTCTTGAGTGTTTGAAATGCAGAAATATCTAACTTTTAATACTTTGGCTTCACTATTTTCATTATTAAATGCTCTTTTGAATTATCGACAGTCTTGTGGCGGCAGGTGAGCGGTATTCACGGGTTAATAATATACAGAAAGGGAAAAGGACAGGAGGTCACCATTTACGGCTGATAGTCGTAGGGCCCGTAATATTCGGGCTGGCCCGGATCTCACGCCGACCAGCGCAGCTTCTGCAACTCAATTTGACCCTCCAGTGTCTTGGCCAGATAGATGACCAACAGCTGGACTAGGGCGATGCCCAGAGCGATGCCAGCTATTACATACAGATTGCGTTCGGCCCACACGCGTACGATTTCAATGCAGCCGCTAGTCCAAATGCGTTTCCTGGCCTCCGGCACTGGCGTCTCCTGGACGCCATAGCCACACATGATGTTCACCAGGCCGGAGGATATATCGGTGGCATTGATGCAGCAGCTGTAGGGCACACCACACTTCTCCACCGACGGCGAGCTGCAGTTGAAGTACTCATTTTTGCCTGCAAATTGAGATTCAGTTATTAAATTGATTGTAAATCTTTAGCGATTACTATGATTTCAAAAGAACAATTTGCTTGGTTTCCATCAGTTATAAAAAGCAATAATTATTTAGCTTTCTACAGAAACATTAATAAACACACATTTTAGGCTTCAGTTTTTTCTGGTTTCCTGATAAACATACAGCAGCTGAAAGCTTTTTTTCTGTATTTAGAGAGTAAATAGCTTTTCTTTTATCAGCAGCAAAAAACTAATTTAAAGGCGTATTTGTTTTCTCTGAAATCCTAATCAAAACAAGTTTACCAGCCTCCATTTAAAAGATTAAACTAAGGCCTTTCAGTGTGTAAAACCAAAGACCTTATAAGAACAAGATGTATACTGTCCATCCCTTTGAACTGCCATCTTTCTTGTTTTTATAAGAAATTTAATAGAACCCAGATTAAACTCACTCCAATCCTGATATCCGGCATTGCTGAGGCCACAGCATTTAAACTCTTGTTGGGCAAAGTCGATAAAGTTCTGCAAGTCCGGATCGTCGCGATATGAATGGATAATCTTGTCGGTGAACTGTTTCTCCAGGAATGAGTTCATGTATTGTGGGAACACGAAGCAAATGATAGCTGCTCGAGAGGGGAAAGCGTTATTACAAATGGAAACCAGATGCCAGTTGGCAGATGACTCACCTATGGCCATCTCCATGAGGAAGAAGAGCAGCAAGCACATGGAGTAGAGCTTCAACAGGAACGTGTTCTCCCGCAGGGCGCCCAGGCAGCCGGAGAAGCTAACGAGGAAGATGACCATGCCGGCGATTATCATCACCAGGGAGATGTTAAAGATCACATCGTAAATGGTCTCCAGGCGCACCCAGCCGTTTGCCTCCTCCCATTTGTCCTTGAACGCATAGATGCCGATGCCCAGGAGCAGGCCGCCGAACAGCCAGAACACAAAGTTCAGCAGGAAAATCATATACTTGACGAACTGGCTCACGTATGTGAAGTGATGTGGATGCATGTCCCGCACCTCGATCCCGCTGTATCCGCGACCACCTATCACGCCCACGCCACCGACACCGCCACCGCCGCCGCCTCCCTGATACCTGTAGTTGCTCATCCTTGGCGTTTCCTTTTATTTTATATTAATAAGTTTAATTTTCTCCGCTTCTTTGCCAGGAATTCGTGGCTGTGCTGGTCCCCCCTTTCTTGCACTTATTTCACTCGTTTTTTTGCACGCCCTACATCTGCAGTAATACGCACTGGCCTAAGGACTTCTCGATTCAAGCTAAGTTTAGTTAATAACTCTCTAAAACTTTGCTTTAAAAACTATAAACACATATGTATGTATGAAGAACGCGTACACAAACAATGAAAACAATCGGAAGGCGCGTATCGGGTTTGGCTATCGGTTATCGATGACTGAGAACAGCTGATTGGCGGTTAACAGCCTACACTATTTAACAGTGTAAACTGTGCAACAAGTTCCAAAGTTAATACTTAAACTCAAGCTTAAATATTGGATTTTGGTGTATATTATTATAAAATTTGTAATGTAGTATTTTTATAATACATTTTTATGCCAAAGTGTGCAACAAGTTTGATACTTTGATACTTACGTTAACAGTCCGCCCCTTACAGAGGATCGGCTGCTTGCTGACCAGTGTAATTCTTCTTCTTCTATCGTCTCACAGAAACCGGGAATTGGAAATAAACGCCTGCGAAATCGCTTGTGGCTTTGACCTTTGAGCCGGTACAACGTCTGGATCGTTTGTGAGTGGTTTGGAGCTGCTATATATATGAATCAGCCGCCGATAGGGAAGATAGGAGCAGCGAAGGAATACTATGCAAATCTCCGGGACGCAGAGAGCAGAGCGGAAAGCCAACCGGAGTCCGAGTCCCCACTATCGAAGTCGATAAGCAATCGGCGGCGCTTTGATAAGGAATCGACAACCACACAAAACGCGAAGTATTAAGCTTACTTAATTGCTGTTTAGTCGCCGGGGGATTCAGTTGCAACTTCCCACACTTAACACCGACGACGACGACGACGTCACGATGAACTTCCTGCTGCGCTTCGTGGTCTTCTGCCTGGACCCACTCGGCCTGGGGCGGCGTTTCTTTGTCCGCCCGGCCTTAAACCTCGGCTGGAACGTGTACGATCGGGTGCGCAGCAAGGCGGACGAGAAGGTTGGCACCGTACGGGAGCTGGTCCTTCGCCTGGGCCTCATCGCCTTCGCCGTGGTGCTCATCATCTGGCTGGCTGTCTTCATGTACGCCGCCTTCTATTACATCTACATGCCGGCCATTTCGCACACACGACCCGTCCACATGCAGTTCAAGTGAGTACTGACTGGGTGAAGTTCTGGGCAGGATTAACCATGAAATTTGCGTGAAATTGCTAATTTATCATGTTTTTTTTTTAGATATTTATACTGAAAGTTTAGTTAGTAATCTCTCTTTCTCCCTGTTTCTGGCATTAAGAGAATTGTATTCCATGTGTTCCCATCATGAAACTAGGTGCCCAACCATGGCTTAATTAGCTTTCCCATACAATGTGGGCTTATCTTAACGATTGCTCCCATAAAAATAGCCATAATCGGGCCTACTGTCAGGGGTTTCAGTTTGATTATTGCATTTCGGGCAATGGTGTCATGACCACAGTTATCTGACCACTTAAATTTCCTTCCTCCACACACGTAGAACCTGCCTGGAGACGAGCACACCCTGCACCTTTCCGCATGCCCACGTCTCGCTGACGAAGAAGCAACAGCTGCTGATGGTGGGCCAGGCGTACAAGGTGATCGTGAACATAGATATGCCGGAATCACCGCAGAACCTGGAGCTAGGCATGTTTATGGTATGCGCCGAGATGAGGGACTATGATTCGATGCTGCGGGGTCACTCCTGTCGCTCGGCCATGATGCGCTACCGTTCGCCACTCATCCGCATGATCTCGACGTGGGCGCTCAGTCCGCTGTATGTGCTGGGCTGGAAGGAGGAGTTCCAGCAGGTGCCGGTAGAGATATTCTCGCGATATCTGGAGGAGCGTCAGCATCCTATCACCGATGTCTATGTGGAGATACAGTCGCAGAAGATACAGTTCTATACGGTTACGCTGCATATTGTGGCTGATTTTACCGGGCTGCGGTACATCATGTTCAACTGGCCCGTCCTGTCGGCCATAGTGGGTATGTTGACCTTAATCCTGACTCCCTGCTGCATGGTAAACAGCCGCTAATCCTTTTTCCTGTCCTGTCTTCCAGCCATTAGCACCAATCTGTTCTTTATACTGGTCATCTTTCTGCTCAGCTGGTACCACTGGTCCGACGCCAGCTGGCTGCACAGCCTGCAAATCAAGTACGCCCGTCTCACGAATACGCTGCAGCCCGGCAGTGCCGCCGGCAGCGTGATCCTCTCCAGCGCCAGCAGCCTGCGCGATGACGATCTGGTTGCATATGCGGACGACAAGTCCGATATAGCGGACGTGGGCGGTGATCCGCTCAATGATACTTCGGATGCCGATGATCTGGTGATGGTAAAGTCCGGCAGCGGCGGAGGCAAGCCGCGTCAGCGTCATGTCAAGAAGGCCACCGCCGATCACTAGGCTAAGGAGGATGAGCCGAGACCACCGCCCATGTGACGCTTGAGCCAAAGACTAAGTAGGATAGTAGGACTAAGTTTAGTGTAACTAAAACAGCAGCCCGCCCAACACACACACACAATCGAAGTATTCCAGCGGACTTGCCACTTAAAATGCTCCAAATCCTGTGCCAGAAGCCAGGATTCTTTATATACTATATATGGGAAGGAATCGTCTAAGGAAATTAAAGAGAGTGGAGTCATAATTCTATTCCATTTGAAAAGCAGCTTAAACAAGGTAAATGAATAATTAAATGTTGAATCATAGCCCTTAGATAGATTACACTTCCCAGGGTTTAGTTTGAACTTTAAATGAACTCTAAGAATAAATTAAACTTAATCGATGAAGTTTAGACCTGGGCTTCACGTGGTTCTTTCGTTTGATCCTTGGACTTTGACTTTGACTTGGAGCGCTGGCAACACTTCTTTTTCTGTTTTGGATCCTGCACATCGAGATCATAATCATCATCCTGCAAAAGGTCCGCATCAACGTCATCGAACATGAGGATTTCGAGTAGTTTTAGCTGGTCGGATAGGAGCTTGCCCACTTTTATAAGCTTCTCGCCACGATCATGATAATTAATTGTCTCTATTTCCTCTGATTTCTTCTCATGCATTATTTGATCTCCCCAAAACTTGCGCTGCCGCATCTCCCGATTGGCATCCATCGAATCGAGCTTCCGCTTCACATTCTCTGCCACCGTTCGCTTGTTCCTGGCGTAGCGACCCCGGAAGCAGGGCAGACGGAGGAAGTACTCGAACAAGGTTGCATACTCGACCCGCAGGAACTGAAAGAAGTTGATGCCATACTCGGGTTCAGCATCGCGCATTGTCTTGGACATGATAAAGAAGTCATTGATCAGCGACGCAAACACGTTCATCAGAAGAACGGCCACGACGAAGGCCAAGATGGCGTAGAGGATAATACCCAGCACCATGCCGCCATGGAATAGTTCCGAGGGCCGCACCTGGTTGCTGAACCCAAAGGCAAAGCACATGCACATGACTATAGCCTTTACAACACGATTGAAGTGTTCGCTGTTATTCCCATTTATGATCACCACCGCAAAGCCGTATCCCATAATGAACAAGACGATCACCATTGCCGTGCTGATCATGCCCGCCCGTGCCAGAAACAAGCTCCGGGTGAAGAGCTTGAACATGCTGGAGAACTGCAGCACTCGCCACAGCCGGAGCGTGGTGGTGCAGATGAGGAAGCCAACCATTACAACGCACAACTGGTATAGACGTGACGGGACACGGAAGTCAATGAAATCCATCTTACTGCTTCCGGCCACCTTCACAAGCATGTGGTTAACGAGCCACTCGCCTGCCAGCACCAGCACAATGACAATCACATTGAGCACCAGGATGATTATGTCCAACATGTTCCAAACGTCCTTCAGCAGCCGCGGCTCATACCACATTTTGAGAACGAGCGACTGTGCGAATTGGATCAGGACCACAGCATAGATAAGTATGAAGATCAGCGAGGTGTATGATCTCTGATCCGTTTCCTCCAGCAGCCTCAAACTGTCCACTTCCATATGTGGCACTACCGGACCGAATGGGGTCTTCTCAATCCGCAGGGTGCAAATGGTGAAAAGATTTACGTCCACATTGTAAAGTGTGAAGTCTAAGAACACCGCCGATGTATTCATGGTCAGCCAATGGTTTTCGATAAGAAAGTCCAAGATCTAAGCATATAGGGGTTAGAGTGAGTAGTTGCTTTTCAGATATTATTTTAATATTAATATTAATATAAAAATAAATCAAAACGCGAGTAGATAAAGGTTACCCACCTTCATGTTGTTGGGCACACTCCTGGCCAGCAGACTCACATACCCGACGAGCTCTGGATATCTATGAAGGTATCCCACATGGTCGAAATTCATGAGGACACGGTCGAGGTACTTGAAGTTATCCGTAAAGGGAATCCAGGGCTCATAAGTGCGCCAATATTTCTTCGCATAGTGGAGCCGACGATAGGGCAGGGTCCAATTGGGCAAATAGTACATCTCGGAGAACGTTGGCCCAAGCCATTCAAATTTGGGATCTAGTACCAGCAACTGTCGCAATCTAATCACTCCCAGCATCACCGTCTGTTCCGCGTGCACCCAACCAGGGACAAGATACCTGCTCGAGTTGGCATTGAAGGCAATGACCAGTGTGGACTCGATAAAATCGTATAGTTGATTGAGAAAGTACACCTCCTTCAGGCCATAGTAATCCGTGTGATTGTTCCAAAAGAGGCTCCGGATGCCACGGGTGTTGTGATACTGCGTCTCGTCCCGTGACATCAGGACCATGATCATTAGGCAGATGAAGTACGGGCCGTAGATGAGCAAATCCTGTGCAATTAACTTATATTCCTCATTGAACGCCCAGTTGCGGTACCGGGAGGATATGACCAGATTCCTCCGCTGGCTGGCCAGCCGTTGCTTGAGGAAATCCACCCGGTTGATGCTGTCTGGCTTCTTCAACCGTGGTGGAATGTAGATACGTGATGGCCAGAGAGCTTCGTCGATTGATAGGATAGCGAACCGAACCGGGTCACCGACCAAGTACTGAAAAAGCAGTGCCGTCAACATGCAGGCCAGCATTGTCTTGAATTTGAGATCCTCGTGCTTAAAGCCGGCAGTAAATCCCATTATAGTTATGGGAAGAGCGATAAGCACCAATGTAATGGCTAATTTAATCAAATATTGTTTGCGCACCATTTCTAGAAGGGATCATAGTGGTTTTCAGGCTTTATTATTATTCTTATTTTGTATAAATATCTACAATTAAAAACATTAAAGCTTAAGTTCACGTTAGGCGCAAATAAGCAAGAGAATTTTTAAAAGCAAGGCCTTCAACAAAGTCATTTAAGAAAGACCTATTATTATTCTACTATCATTACTTAAAGTCCCAATAATGTGGTAAAGATTACCATTTCATTTATCTATTTAATTTATGTATCTAAAATCCTTAAATTTAAATCAATTTAAATTTTTAATGCAAATATTGAAATAATTTCAAATAAACATTAAGATAACAGACGGAACTAGTTGCGAAACCCGCCAACGATAACCGATTAATTGGACAATCGAACCAGTTGACTAATCGCAGCTGGCCCAAACGGTCACACTTGCTGACAACAAAATAGAAAATAAAAACTAATAAAACCGATCCGCAAGCGAACTAACGATAATGACGAACGCCTAGCGAACCCATTTGGACACCAAATAACACGCACAGGCGAACAGCGACCAGGGACGACGAACAAACAACCAGGAGTTGCTGGCGTAGGTGGTTGCGGAGCGTTGCAGAGCGGTTGCAACTATGACGATGACCGCCTCGGATAAATACACGTACCAGCGTACGGTACTGTGCCTGGCTCGCGTTCTGGCCGGAATCCAACCGACGCCCTGGGAGAAGGTACGATCCAGACCAGCGGGCCCATTCATTCGCGGAAGTGCCAGGCCGTGGCAATCATCGACTTTTTCGCACGACCTTGAACGGGGGGCGACCATAAAAAAAAAAAAAAACAAGAAAAACAGACATGCGTGTGTGGGTGCCACCCCAGAGATACGGTGACGGTGTGGGGCTGGCTAGTGATGATGTAGCCCACTTGGAAGCACAATAATTCGTTCAATGTTTTCAGTTCCAAAATTTTATCTTTGTGTTATCGAATTAGCCACAAAATATTAATCATCGCGATCACGTAAAGTTTGAAAAATAAACCAAATTTAAATCCTAACATATGATTTCCTAAATTATTAAATGTAATGTGACAATTAATGAAACAAAAGTGATCTTAGACACAGTGTTCAGTTGTAAAAATATTGAAAGATTTTTCTTTGTTAAATTGTCTCTAGAGAACAGTCTTTAAAACCTTATTTTTGAATTGAAATACTCGATGCAAGTTTACCATAAGTTAAAGATATATTATATGCTCCAAAAATGATAAAACATTACTTACTTGACGATTCGAATTCCACTCTAACCGTCTTTTCTTTGCAGGTTCAGACCCTTTTCCGGTATTGCCCGCAGGAGAATGCAGCTGGTGTCTTTTGCTTGGACACCCGGGCCCAGGATGCGGTTATTGCTTTGGGCATATACTTCCTGGAAGGTGGCTGCCAGCACGAATCCCAGATCGTGCCCTATTTGCTGCGATTGGCCAAATGTTTGCCAAAGGCCGTCTGGATTGATGATGCCCGAAGCAGCAAAATCGAGCGTAAGTTTCTCTATAGTTGTTAAGTTTTTAAGACGAAAGGTTCCATGTAAGCTGTCACTTTGACAGGGAATCTTAAAGCAAGGATTTGGGTATATTTTAGGTCTTTTTTAGACTTGGTTGGGAACTTTATAAGGTGCAAAACCTAATAAGAAAACGGCTTAATGTTAAATAATAATATTAATAGTTATTATAAATATGTTAATTATCTATTTACTTACAGGAGTTCGCATTCCCTCGGCGGAGAAGTTCAGCTTCTGTCTAAACACCCTGCTCTCGGATATCGCAGCCAAATGTCCCGATTCCCGCGAAGAGATCATCCTCAACCAGGTGGAGACCCTCGGGGCCCTGGCCAACATTGTCAAGTCCAGCAGGGACAGCAGCTCTGCACCGCCTCCGATCATATTATGCAAGGCAACAGTGCCGCTGCTCTTTGGCTTGGCACGATCGATGGGTCGCTATGCCAGCAACGATCCACCGCTGTTGTGTCGCATCTTTCCGCCAGAGCTGCTGCCCATCCAACGCGGTTGGGGTCGCGATGGCAATGGTGGTTCCAGCAGCAGTGCCAGCGGTACCTGCGGTGGATCATTTAGCAGCAGCGAACGCCTGGCGGCCACACATCAATTCCGACCCATAATACCCCGTTCGATGTCCGGCAGCCTGGCCCAGGCGCAGGCCCAGAGCCATGGACAACACGACGATGGACGCCATCGATACACGACGGGGAAACACAAGCCGTCGCTGCACAGCTACTTTTCGGTGCCGTATGATCCGCGGACACATTTCTTCACACGTTACGGCTCCAGCTTCAACCAGTTCCCGAACATGCGCGTCTGTGAATCGCCAACGAAGGCCGGTCCCAGGCCTCTGTACCGAGTGCCACCGTTTCCCATCCAGCATCTGCAGACCATATTCGCAGTGTCCAAGAAACTGCTCACCAAGGACACGTTAGAGCACTTGGACGAGCAGGCCAGCGACATCTTTTCGCTGCACCAGATCAAGGGTTACTGCTACAAGAGCTTCTCGGAGACGTTGAACCTGGTGCTGGTCACCTTGCTGCGAGAGTTGCTGCAGCATCAAGTGGACTTGCCGACACCGTTCACCAAGGATGTGCAGGAGTTCGTCAAGCGGCTTTTCCTCAACGGGCAGACGGAGCTCCAGAATAAGCAGCAGGACCAGGAGCGTGAGCGGCGCGAGGAGAACGGCATTGCGGTGGTCAACAAGTACAAGGTCAATGTTATGGCGAACGCAGCCTGTGTGGACCTACTGGTTTGGGCCATACGCGATGAGACGGGTAAGCGAAGAGCCTGTTGTGCTCACAGAGATCACAGATCTTTAAATTCCAGCTCAGCGCTATAACCAAATGGCAATAATGCAAAAAAGCAATAATGCAAAATGTCAAAAAGCAGCTCAAAAGATATATAATTTATGAATTATTGCAGAGGGAGCAAAAGACAGAGAGAGAATGAGATATATATAGACTATAGGAAAGAACATGTACGAAAGTTACTATATTAATTAATAAGCTGAGAATTTTGCCTAATTAATTTGCAATTGGCTTAGGTATAACCTGACCTAGAGCTTACTAGAGACCTTTTAAATATGGTTTTTAAATTGAAAAGTTCCTTTTTTAAACGTTCTTCAGAATATAAATCGACTTAAATAACTTACACACTGATATTCAGTCGTTTAAAAATCGCATAAGTACAAAGATCAGAAAGAGTCCCTTTCATTTGAATATAATAAAATAGATTTTCCCAACAAATATTGAAAACTTTAATTATTTTACAGATTTACCATAAATCTTTGACACACTTACTAGTTAGCTTAGAAAAGTGGAGAAGGACATGGCCAAATCGACTCGTCTGTTGCAGCTAAATAAGGAAATCGAATTTTAAAAACAAATTGATTTAAAAACTAGTGTTTTTTTAACAATCTCTGTCTCTCTCTCTGTCTGTCTCACTCTCTATCTCTCTCTTTTTTGGTCAAATAATTTTTGAGTTATTTTTCCTTTAATTTCCTTTTAGTTTCTTATAGTTTATTTTTGTTTGTAATTTTGTGTTTTTTGGTGGCCGGAACCCGGAATATTGTTCAGTTGACGTCGACTATAATGTGCCATCCCTGCAGAATGGCTTGCAATTTTTATTGAAGAAAGGTCAAGAGAAGCAGTGTTATTGTCCTAGTTTCGATTTTTTTCTATATCATATATAGCCACAAAACTGAATGTTTAAGAAAGGTGGAAAAACAATATTTGTGTATATTGGAAGATATATATTTAAGAAATTACTATGAACTCCCTTTCACCTTCTTAAACAGTGAAGCTCTTTGTTCTGTTTTGTGGCCTATTATTATTATTATTATTGTTAATATATTTTGCCTGGCCTATGTTCGCTGCATGTTGCAACATGATGATCCACCACCAGATCCACATCCTGCGCATCCCAGATTAATTCTTAATTATTGTTCCTCGTTCCCTTGTTTGCATAATGAAAAATGAAATTGCAACAAATAAATATATTAACTACTTGCTTTTACTCCTTCTTCATCCTACCCAATCCAGAGGCGGATAAGCTGTGCGGTCGATTGTCCCAGAAGCTCAACCTGGTGCTCAGCCACAAGATCGTGATGGATCACATGCCGCTGCTGATGGTGTGCCTGGAGGGGTTGGGCAAGCTGGCCCAGAAGTTCCCCAATATAGCAGGCACTTCGATATCCTATCTACGTGACTTCCTTGTGGATCCCAGTCCCATTCTGGGCAAGCTGCATGCCCATGCCATGCAGACGTTGGCCCAGCAAAAAAAGGAGAAGGAGCTGACGCCGTTCAAGATTGTGGTACAGCATTCAGATTCACGGGCTGTCGTCGATATCTTTGGGGATAATGGTACCGGAAAGGCGCCGAACAGCAGCAGCAGCACTGGACGTAGTGGTCATGCCGCCTTCGAGGCCCTGCGAGATGCAGCCATTGAGAATTTGTCCATTGCCCTGAGAGCGGCTCATACCTTGGATCAGTTCTGTGTTCCAGCTCTGGTGGCCAATGTATCCAATCGTCTGTTCACTGCCGAGAAGTCAGAGAGGTGAGTGTTTGTGTTTCATAAATATTTCCATAATTTTAAACTTATTTATCCTTTCCGGATAGCGAATCAAACCTGGTGAGCCTGAATATCATTGTGATGCTGGGTCATGTGGCTGTGGCGCTAAAGGATACCTCGAAGACTACTCAGAACATCCTGCAGTTCTTTATTCAGCGCTTCTGCAAGGTTCCCTCTGAGCAGAATGCCTTGATTGTGGACCAGCTGGGTTGCATGATCATCTCGCAGTGCGAGACGCATGTATTTGACGAGATCATGAAGATGTTCTCCCGTGTGACAGTGCAATCAGCTTCGCTGGCGTACACCTCAGACCCGGAGCACAGGAAGCAGTTCCATCATGTCTCCGATGCGGTGGTAAATGCCTTGGGCAATATTGCTGCCAACATACAGGGCGATGCCGAGATGCTAGAGCTGCTGGGCAAGCTGCTGGAGCTATTCGTCCAGATCGGATTGGATGGCGAGCGCAGCTACGACAATACACCGGGCGCCCAGAAGGCCAGCTCCCGGGCCGGTAATCTGGGCATGCTAATACCGGTTATTGCGGTACTGGTGCGCCGCCTTCCGCCGATCAAGAATCCCCGCCAGCGTCTGCACAAGCTCTTCAAGGACTTTTGGGCCTACTGTGTCGTCATGGGCTTCACCAATGCCCGCCTGTGGCCTGCCGATTGGTATCAAGGCGTCCAGCAGATAGCAGCCAAGTCGCCGCTTCTCATCTCGCAGACTGCCCACAAATCAGACATGCGAGAGCTGAACTACACGCTGGCCATCAAGAGTGATTCGGTGAACGAGCTGCGCAGCCAGATCCTTGTGCTGCTCGAGCATTCCACGGATAACGTGGCCACGGCCATCAATAAGCTGACCTTTGCCCAGTGCACTTACCTGTTGAGCGTCTATTGGCTGGAAATGCTGCGCGTGGAGAACGCCGACGAGCCAAGTCTGGAGCCGATCATGAGCTATCTCTGCGATACAGCTCTGCAGCGGGACAAGACGGGCATCTGGCAGTGTGTCAAGTGGTAAGATGATAGCGAAAATCTAGCTTCCAGTGTATCTAATGCCCTTCTTAATTTTCCTACTTGACAGCGTGGCCGACCAGGTCTTTGAAAAGTTCCGCAATGTGCTGTATGCCCACGACGAGATTCGGGAAAAGGTGCTGGAGTCGCAGGCAACGCTGCTGCTGGTCTACTTCAATCATATCCACAAGCCCATTCAGGTGGTGGCCGATCAGTATTTGTCGTTTCTGGTGGATCGATTCCCTCACTTGCTTTGGAACCGCCGCGTCCTCTGGTGCATGCTGGACATTCTCCAGCTGCTGGCCTACTCCCTCAGCCTGGATCCCAACGAGGAGACACCGACATTGCGTGTGGTCTCAACGCCGTATACCCTGCAACTGATGGACTCGTTGCCTGCAAGAGAGTTGCGCCTGAAGGACTTTGCCGATCGGTGTCAGGGCATTGTAAATGAGGCGATGAAATGGGCACCCAGATCGACGCGTTCGCATCTTCAAGAGTATCCCAACCAAATACCAACACCCGTGCTGGCCCACCACAGCGGCCTGGCGCTAGCCTTCGATTCGGTTGTCAGCAGCAGTGCCATGCATCCCGGCACGGCTGCGGGTTCGCTGAGCAAGCGACCCAGTTGCGTCAACTCGGACACACCGCGCTTCGTGTCGGTTCTGTGTCTGCGCAGCAAGTATGCCGGTGAGATCAGCGGCCTGCTCTCCGTGCTGAGTGAGCGAGACAAGGCCGGACTTGCCGATCGGCTGGTCAGCGATGTGTGGGAGGCGTGCTCGGAGAAGAGTGATGCCCGGCATCGAGGAGCCCTGTGGCGAGCCACCGCCTACCTCATCATCTGCTCGGAAATCGATCGGAAGCTGCTGCATGCGGTGGCAAGTTCGCAGCTGGAGCTGTTTACCGAATCGGCCATGGAAACGGCGGTGGAGTGCTGGCAATGGGTGCTAACGGCTCGCCAGGATCTGGAGCTGTGCTTCATCCAAGAGATGGTCAGTGCCTGGCAGACTACGTTCGAGAAGCGAATGGGACTGTTTGCCTGGGAAACGGAAGTCACCCATCCGTTGGCTGCCTACGAAGGCTGCAAGCTTGTGAGCAAGCCAATCCTGATCGCACCGCATCTCATCTGGCTGCAGCTACTCTCCGAAATGGTGGACACGGCCAAGTATTGCAACCGCGACAAGGTGGAGATGTTCTGTCTGCTGCTCCATCGCTGTCTTCCCATACTGAAGAGCAGCCGACAGAATCGGCAGGTCTCCACGGTCGGCTGTCGGTTCAAACTGCTGCAGTGCGGCCTGTCGCTGCTCCAAGGCAACACCATACCCAAGTCTCTGGCGCGCAACATCCTACGCGAGCGGATCTACTCGAATGCCTTGGACTATTTCTGCGGACCGCCCACGTGTCCGAACCAAAGCAGGGAGCAGCTCCTCGAGGATATACTGATACTGCTCAAGTTCTGGCAGACGATGCGCAGCGAGAAGAAGCACCTGGTCACCTCCGAGGTGGGCGACTATGACCTGACTAATGCCTCCGTCAGTTCCACGCAAATGCTGGCCGTGCGTGCCAATCCGGAGACGGCTTCCCTGATCAGCGGCGGCGGTGGCATTGCCTCAGACTATGGCCGATCCATGAGCACCAGCGGCAATGCCGTCGGCATGGGCATGTCCATGGGCGGCGCTGGTGGCGGAAGCAACAGCGGCTGGTACAACACGATTCCACACTCGACGTCGACGCTGTCGAAGCGCTCGAATCGCTCCAAGAGGCTGCAGTATCAGAAGGATTCGTACGACAAAGATTACATGAAGAAGCGCAACCTTATACTGGAGCTGCTGGCCGTAGAGCTGGAGTTCCTTATCACATGGTACAATCCCAACAGCCTTCCAGACCTCACAGTGCCAGGTAAATGTCTCGCTCTCTCTTTATCTGTGATTTGTCATGAACTCTAAAATCCCTTTCTCTTTCCTCTAGGCGAGGAACAAATCACCGAGTGGCGGACCCGGCCGTACAAGCCTAACGTTTGGCGTGACTATGCCCGCCTCGCCTGGTGCTACAATCCTGCTCTGGCCGTCTTCCTGCCGCAGCGCATCAAGAACGCCGAGATTATTGACGAGGAGGTCTCTCGTCTCGTCTGCTCCGATCCCATTGCCGTCTGCCACATTCCGGAGGCACTCAAGTACCTGTGCACCACCAAGAACCTGCTGCAGGAGAGTCCTGATCTTGTGTATATACTCTCCTGGTCACCGGTTACGCCCATCCAGGCGTTGGCCTACTTCTCGCGTCAGTATCCATCGCATCCGCTGACGGCGCAGTATGCCGTGAAGACCCTGTCGTCATATCCGGCGGAATCGGTTCTGCCGTACATACCGCAACTGGTGCAGGCACTCCGGCACGATACCATGGGCTATGTGGTGGAGTTCATTAAGAATATATCGCGAAGATCGCAGATAGTGGCCCATCAGCTGATCTGGAACATGCAGACGAACATGTACATGGATGAGGACCAGCAGCACAGGGATCCCAATCTGTACGAGGCATTGGATCAGCTGTCGCAGAGCATTATAGCCTCGTTCTCGGGCGCTGCCAAGAGATTCTACGAGCGAGAATTCGACTTCTTTGGCAAGATTACGGCCGTTTCGGGTGAGATCCGTTCCTTCCCCAAGGGCATTGAGCGGAAGAACGCCTGCTTGGCGGCGCTGAGTCGGATTAAAGTTCAAGGCGGTTGCTATCTACCCTCGAATCCGGAGGCCATGGTCCTGGACATTGACTACAGCAGCGGCACGCCCATGCAGAGTGCAGCCAAGGCGCCGTATTTGGCACGTTTCCGGGTGTATCGTTGCGGCATCACGGAGCTGGAAACACGAGCCATGGAGGTGTCCAATAATCCGGTAAGCTTCTCCTGATAATATCTATATCTTGTTCTTAAACTTGATCTCTTGCTTTGTTGTAGAACTCCCAGGAGGATGCCAAAATGACGTTGGGTGTGGAGTCTTGGCAGGCTGCCATCTTTAAGGTGGGCGACGATGTACGGCAGGATATGCTGGCCCTCCAGGTGATCACCATCTTCAAGAACATCTTCCAGCAGGTGGGGCTCGACCTGTTCCTGTTCCCCTATCGCGTGGTGGCCACCGCTCCAGGGGTAAGTGCCTACAGCTTACTCGGATTGGTATCCTCAGTTCTTAATCTCCAATGCCTTGCAGTGTGGCGTCATTGAGTGCGTACCGAATGCCAAGTCGAGAGACCAGCTTGGCCGGCAGACGGACAGTGGCCTGTCCGAGTATTTCCAGCATCAGTATGGAGACGAGAGCTCCAAGGAGTTCCAGGCGGCGCGAGCGAACTTTGTCAAGTCGATGGCAGCGTACTCGCTCATTGGCTATTTGCTGCAGATCAAGGATAGGCACAACGGCAACATAATGATCGACAAGGATGGCCACATCATACACATAGGTACTACTCCCACTATATTGAGATACTTCCTGCAGTTTTATTATCTCTGTTCTCTCGCAGATTTTGGCTTTATGTTCGAGTCATCGCCGGGCGGCAATATCGGCTTCGAGCCGGACATGAAGCTCACGGACGAAATGGTTATGATCATGGGCGGCAAAATGGACTCACCTGCCTTTAAATGGTTCTGCGAGCTGTGCGTCCAGGCCTTCCTCGCCGTCCGGCCGTATCAGGATGCCATTGTGTCGCTCGTTTCGTTGATGCTGGACACCGGACTGCCATGCTTCCGGGGGCAGACGATTAATCTGCTGAAGCAGCGATTTGTGGCCACCAAGAATAACAAGGAGGCCGCTGCCCACATGCTGTCCGTCATCCGCAATTCGTATCAGAACTTCCGCACGCGTACCTACGACATGATCCAGTACTACCAGAACCAGATCCCCTACTAAGAATTATCCGCCTCTTGTTCGTTCGCTCGTTGTTTGTTCGTTGTTTGGCCAAAAGGAAACCCAGTTCCAATTCCCGTCCCAATTCCCCCGCCTGGCGACACTTCTTACACCGTATTATTATTATTTTTCACCTTGTATTTCCCGTATACTCCAATTGTGTGTTTGTCTCCTTGTTTACTTTGTTTCCGCGTACTTATAAGATGTTGAACTTTACCAAGATTTTACGACGCATACATACGTTATTATACAATATTTATAAATATTAAATCAATTATAGGGCAATATGTTATAAAGTGGTAAAAACAAAGCAATCGTGTGTTTTATTTTTAATTGTGGCGAGGTGGAAAATAAAACTTGCTCGGTGCGCGCCTAACAGTAATGCCAGACTTGTGATCTCGTGCAACCAGCGTTGCCAGACTTTTAGTGTGCCCAGATGCCGCAAAGTGTGAAATATTCGCGGTATTTTCGCTCAGTCATAACCTGGCAACGCTGAAACCGATTGCGAAGCAGCAGTGAAAGAGAAACAGAAGCTGAGGCAAATTCGGCCGAAAAAAAACGTACGCCTACAAAACTCAATCGAATAACCCGTCTAATTATCGTGCAATGTTCTCGCGTTGGGCAATTAAAGCGCATTTGTAGTTGCCAACAAAACACGAAGAAAGAGATCGCGCGGTGCACTATATGTATATTATTTTTTCGTTTTTTAGTGAAAGTGTAAGTAGCTGCCGTGTGCTCGTTGTTGTTGCTGCTTCTGTTAGTGAGTGCTGTTGTTGTTGCAGTGCACACGCATACACACGCTCAGTTCAGAGATATATATGTATGTGTATATACATAGCGGGCCGCCATTAGTCGATTTGTTTCGCCTCCGATACCGATAAATAATCATTTTACCAACAAAATATATAGAAATTTTTTTGTTGTCCGCAAAAGAAAAAAGAACAAAAAGAAACCAGGGAAAAGGAAGAAAAACCACGAATAACCCAGAGAACCGTCAGAGCGAGTGAGAGGGGGCGAGTCGGAGAGAGCGAGAGAACGCCAGAGTGCAAAGTGCCAAAAAAAAAAACCGATAAAACCGAAAAAAAAAGAAATATTGAAACGCACGCGTTGTAAGTTAAGTAAAGTAAAAGTAATTAGAACGAGAACACGGAGTTGAAACGGAGGTGGCGCTAAACCAGCGTGCTAAGCAAGACGTAGCAAAAAGTGCCAACGAAAAATTCTCGTGCGAAACAAAATACAAAAAAAAAGAAGAGAAAAAACACCGAAAGAAAAGTGCCGCAACATACGGGAGTTTTCCTCGGTTTTCCCCTTTTTATTTATTTATTTTATTTTTTTTTTTTAATTCTAATTCTCAATTTCGCCTCTTTGTGCGAAGCGAGTGTGAAAGGTATAAAAAACGGAAGCAAGGTGTAGAAAAAGACAAAAAAAAGTCAGCAGAGCGTGCATGAGTGTGTGTGTGAGTGCGATTGTGAGTAAAAGAAAGCAATCGAAAATATGGAAATGAATCGCAAGGAAAAAAAACTGAAAAAACGAAGGAAAGCGTATACATAAACGTGAAAAGCGAGCGAATCTAGCATTAATAATTTTCTTTTAAAATAAATAAGTGCCGCTCTCCGCTCTGTGTGAGTGCGCTGTACATGTGCGTGTGAGAGTGTATGTGTGTGCTTCTTCTTTGCTTTAGTTTTTTTTTCACACCATGCGTACCTCTTTTATTTTTGTGTGCATTGGTGGAAATTCTCTGAAATTAATACACAATATAAAGAGATTAATTGAAAACTAGAGGTGACATTTTTTTGTGTTGTTTTTTGGTACAAATGCACACAATCACACACACAAACACACAGGCTGTGGGAAAGCGAGGAAATTGCGTTACACAAGCACACCCGCTGCCGGCCGCGCAGTCGCTGGCGCTGTCGACGACGTCAGAACCTTCGCTGTGGTGAACAAGTGTACGCGTGTGTGTGTGTATACACGGTGTCTGTGTGTCGTGTCCGTGAGTGTCGCGTGTCTCTCTCTCTGCGTGGTGTGTGTACGTGCCTCCGATAATCGAATAATTTTTTTTTGAGTGCTGCAAGCAAGCAAAGTCAAAAATAACAAACAAAAGGAAGAAATCGCAGAAATAATGCGAATTGTTGCAAAAAGCAAACAAACACACACGCCAAAGCGCGAGCTAACTGCACATTGTTATCCGTCCTACGCCCACGCCTGCGACTGTGTCGACGTCAACGTAAGCGGCGCTGCCGGCGCACAGTGGAGCCAAAAGTCAAGACAAGTAAGTAGCTTATTCAAAAGAATAGAATACCAATCCCTAGGATTACGGGGAATTACAATTCACGACTTGCAATTCTTAAATAGTTTACATTTTATTTGTTTTTTATTTTTTCTTATACATAAATTATTCAAATTTATTTAAGGGCAACATTTTGACTTACTACGAAGTTAATTTTGGTTCTTTTGACCCTTTGATTAGATTTCCTAATTTTCCCTAGGAGCATTTCATTTGTTGCTATAAAACAGATTTATAAATTAACTAGTTTATTAAATAAAGTCTAAACTGGCTCAGTGTTAATTTTACAAATTAAATATATTATTTTACAATTACTTGTAATGTATATTTTCTCTACTCAAGATGTTTAAAAGATTTTCCTCTCACGCGATTTTGATAATTGCTACTTTTGTTTCTTTGATCATCTGAGTTGTGGGCTTTATAACACCAATTATAATTCTTGATTATGGGGAGCTTTATAATAATTTAATTTGTATCATATTGGAAACGAGAGAAATGAAATGAAAATTCAGAATGAAAATGCTTAAAGTATTTATTTATATTTGTTTTATGAGAGGTGTAAAATTACTCATTCGGTGGTTGACTGATAATTGATTGTACAGGGCCAATTCGAAAAACAAGTCTACTTAAACATAATTACGAAAAATGGTATTAAAACTTTCTGAATTCTTTAAAAAGTAGTCTGTTTAGAAATACTTCTCCATATCTAAATAATTTACGGAGATTTATTTACGTTTTTTCTCAACATTTTAATAGTAAAAATTATTGAATTCCTACTGTACAACGTCCGTTGGCGGCTATGGCGACGTTTCCATAAAATTAACAGTCCGCCGGTCAAAAGAATTTAAATTAAATAAAACGAATTTTGTACGAAAAACTCTTTGTGTGTGCGCCTGTTGTTGTGTATTTCATTATTGCGGCTGCAAAGTGCAACGTTTGCACTGAAAATGACATTGAAAATAACGACAGCACATAATTCTAAAATGTTTTAAAGTTTGATTTTCTTCCGTTTTCGTCCAGCATTGGGTGGCAACTATAACAATGTATATGGGCGGCTGTGTTAAATACAGTAGGTATCGGTTAGCAGTTGCCATTGTTAATTAAATAAACTAAAGTTGGAAAACTGTCAAAGTCCCAGTTTGAAATCTGTTGTTTATTTAACAGAGCATTTTGTCGACTCGGAAAAAAGGCTTGACAGCGGAGTTAAATGCTTGTAATGATGTGAAGGAGCCATTTCCGACCCTATAAATCATATATATTCTTGATCAGCATCAAAAGCCATATCGATCTAGCCATCTCAGAAAGAAAAAAAAAATTTATAAATTTTTTCCAATTTTTATAAGGGGTAACATCGTTAAAATTTTGAAAAATTTTAAGAAAAAATTGAACATTTTTAAAATTTTAAATTGAGTATGCAGATTTATTAACCTAATAAAAACTAGCTTAGAGCAGCTTTCCGAGTTAAAATTAAAGCATTTTTGACTTAGTTATGGGTTTTTTTACTTTGATTTGTCGACAAAATTTTCATATAAATAAATGCGAATTTCTTACGCTTAGATAAACTCGATTTCCAATTCGATCATTTTATTCACTTGCAGACTGCAAGGGCAAGCCGATGTTAGTTTTCTTTCTTGATATATCTTAAATTTATAATTATATAAATAAGAATTCTTAACAGCTAGTTGTTTGTATTTGTTGCATTTGCTAGGTTTCACTGTAAAAAGGAAATTCCTTGGCAATAATAAATGTCAGCCTGCAGGTTGCAAGGGTGCCAGAGAGAGAGAGAGAGAGAGAGAGAGACTAGAGAGAGAGTGGGAGAGGGTAGCAGAGGAAGGAAGTAGCTGTAAGTGCAAATGGGAAGTGGCTCAGACAGGAGAGATAGATAGAGAGAGAGAGAAAGAGAGTGTGTGCGAGAGAAAGAGAGTTAACTATTGCACGCTATATGATGGCACGATATCACACCCACTGGCACACCAACGCCCACAAACTTTTGCAGGGGCACATACACATGCATGAGCAGAGCCAGTGTTGTCAACATCCTGTGCACGTGTGCGTGTCTTGCCTGGCAACGCCACAGAAATAAAAAAAAAAAAAATAAGAAGGAAACAAACAGTTTAAAGTCGGGACATTTCGGGCACAGCTGTTTTCCCCACGCCTGTGTGTGTGTGTGCTCCGATTTTTGCGTTTCGTTGGCAACACTTTCACACTACTCACACATAGATATCCTCGCATGTTTCGTGTGTGTGTGTTTGTATGTGTCTGTGTGCGGTGTCCTTCGCCTGCGCGTGTCATTCGTCTTCCATTCCGATATATTGTACACAATTTGCACACCGCCAACGTTATATCGATTATTCCAATGTGCATCTGATCAAATTCGATTATAAATGTATGAATAATAAGTAATCATATTATAATTAAGAATTTAAAATATAATATTCGACTATTTTGCATTATTTTCATATTTTAAAACATGTTTGACTTGCTTATAACTATCGTTTAAAAAAGGGTAATACAATCGATTTTTGACAGATAAAAGAATAATCCGATGTGCAACTATGTTTATTGAAAGCAAGTACAGAAAGTTAATTATTACTTTTTTAAAATTAAATTAGATATATTCTTAATATTCAAAAAGTAGGAAGTATTCCTATGAATATGGAAATCAGTGTTAAATATAAGAAGAAACATTGAAATGTTTTCCTTGATTTAATGGATAAGTAAATTCTATAAATTATCCTCACATCCTTACATACCTCAAATTATTGATTATTGAGAATGTAAAACACAATATTTTGGCGGTAAAATGGCTGCGGTGACATCATTTTATCAATCCTTGGTCGATTGCAGCATTGTAATTTTATCAGTGTTGTAAAACGGCCGCAACAGCAGCAGAGACAGCGACGTCGGCGTCAACGTTGACCGAGAAACGATGACTTCTGGTGTCGCACTAGTTGCGTTGCGCTGCGTCGTCGTCACTGCTCTGCCGGCGTCGACGTCGACTGCGATATCCTGTGCTCCTTCCG